CCTTGTGATTTTTTAAGTCCTGAAATAGGGTCATCTAAGAGTGACTTTTTGTTATTAATCATCAAATTTCCCAAAGTCAAGCTTTAAGAATATTATTTTCCCCTTGGTCTCTCAAACCTGTGTTTATGGTCAAAATAATGCTTTTATTTTTAATGAAGAACTGATTGCTGATATTCCTATTTTTATTATATCAAGTTGTTTATAGTTGTGTCAAAGAACTATTTTACTAGAAAATTTAAGAGATTAACAACTACATACCTTACTTTACAAAGTTAATACAGGTGGAAGTGATAAACAAAATTAATAAAGGAATGCTAATTCCTTGAAGGGATAAGTTACAGACTATTTTAAGATTCTTAAATTTCGAAAAGAACTAATAAGTTTTCATGATTTGGCTATCTAAATATGTAAAAGAAGATTAATAAGGACAAATGTTTTGAATTGTTTTAGAGTGATTATCTTAAGAAGCTTAATTTGTACTCTAAGTGTACTCTAGCTTTGTGTTACTCTTTCAATTTATTTGTACTTATATATAAGTAATTCATGATTACATACATTTTGTAAGTTGCCCAACTGTGTAACTGCCATTAAGATTTTTGTTTTGTTTTGTTTTGTTTTAGGCAGGATCTCGCTCTGTTGCCCAGGCTGGAGTGCAGTGGAGCAAACTTGACTTGCTACAGCTCTGACCTCCTGGGCTCAGGCAGTCTCTTTCCTCAGCCTCCGTATAGCTCCATATGGAACTAAAGGTGCCCATGTCCAGCTAAATTTTTTATTTTTCTGTAGAGACGGGGCCTCACTTTATTGCCCAGGCTGGTCTCAAACTCCCGGGCTCAAGAGATCCACCTGTCTCCATCTCCCAGAGTGCTGGGATTAGAAGTGTGAACCACTATGCCTGGCAGTGCTGTTAAGTTTTGTTACCCAAAAAAATCCAGAGTTCCTTTGCCTATCAAGTAACAAATGACTCCACAAGAACACAGATCTTGATCAATAGATGTTTTATTACTTGTCACAAGTAAGGAGAGCACTGGGCATATTCTCCAAAGCAGTGGCTCTCTGAGGGAAAGTGAGAGGAGGATTTTATGGGGCGATGGAGAGGGAAGAGAGGGTATGTCACTGCATATAGAGGAGGGGTCCCAGTGGTGCACATACAGTGAGTCTTTATGCCTGGGTGTAGGTCACATGCTATGGTAGTGAAGCTATAGCTTCTCCCAGGATGGAGACTTTAGCATGGTAATGAGGAAAGCTCACCCTGGTTTATCTGTGAGTTGCCAGGGTCTGTGAGTAACTGGTTCCAGTCATCTAGTTGATGCATTCTACACAGGGTTTAGGCAAAAATAGGCTGCAAGGCAGGAGGCTATAAAACAGGCCGATTGTTCAAGTTGATTAATTCCTATAGTCCGTGAAGACCTTGCTGTCTGCTTACAGCTTGTTGAGTGTCTTTTCAGACCTTTTTCTTCATCCATTTATATACATTAATACATAGACTAATATGTAAGGGTTCTTTTCCCTCAGCACAAGTGATGTAATATGTATTGGTCTGCAAGTCTTGTTTTTTGTTTTGTTTTTGTTTTTTTACTTAATGTATTTTGAGTCTCTTTCCATACATTTTCATAGCACTGGTATGTCTCTGTTTATCTAGAGTGCAATGGCGTGATTTCGGCTCACCGCAACCTCCCCCTCCCGGGTTCAAGCAGTCCAATTGCCTCAGCCTCCCGAGTAGCTGGGATTACAGGTGCCCATCACCACGCCAGGCTAATTTTTGTATTTTTAGTAGAGATAGGGTTTCACCATGTTGACCAGGTTGGTCTCAAACTCCTGACCTCAGGTGATCCGCCCGCCTCGTCCTCCCAAAGTGCTGGGATTACAGGCGTGAGCCGCCACACCCAGCCCAATTTTTTCAATTACATCGATTTCTAGTCTTTTAAATCTTATTATAAATACCTTGTAAAATTTATTATCTTTCTTTAATATGGACAATCACTGTAATCAATCTGTTTTCCATATTAGAGTTTTTGCGTATCAGGTTTTCTTAAAGTAAGCATCATGCTGGTGTATCAGCATATGAGTGCTTTAGGGCCCAAGAGTGAGAATAGGCATATAGTTGTTACTCTTCCTAGTTGAGCGTTGAAGGAGATCATAGTGGACTGTGTGTGACTGGTGAGAATAATATCACAGGATAACTTTCAAAACAAAAAAGTGAGTCACCTCCTGCCCCTTCAGTGGCTTTACACTACTCTTCACATAGTAACCAAATACCACCATATAAGTTAGAAGATCCTGTGTTCTTTGGTCCTTGATGATTCTTTTTTTTTTGAGACTGAGTCTCGCTCTGTCGCCCAGGCTGGAGTGCAGTGGCGCAATCTCGGCTCACTTCAAGCTCTGCCTCCCAGGTTCATGCCATTCTCCTGCCTCAGCCTCCCAAGTAGCTGGGACTACAGGTGCCTGCCACCATGTCCGGCTAATTTTTTTGTATTTTTAGTAGAGATGGGGTTTCACTGTGTTAGCCAGGATGGTCTCAATTTCCTGACTTCATGATTTGCACACCTTGGCCTCCCAAAGTGCTGGGATTACACGTGTGAGCCACCGCGCCCAGCTGGTCCTTGCTAATTCTTTAGTGTCATCTCATACCTCTTGCTGTCTATTCTGTGTTTTGTTTGGTTTTGGTTTCACTGTTGTTTTTCTTTTTTTTAGCTCCCCATTTGTACTCTATTCTTTTTTTTTTTTTTGAAAAGGAGTTTTGCTCTTGTTTACCAGGCTGGAGTGCAGTGGCGCACCCTCTTGGCTCACCGCAACCTTCGTCTCCCAGGTTCAAGTGATTCTCCTGCCTCAGCCTCCCAAGTAGCTGAGATTACAGGCATTGTGCCACCATGCCTGGCCAATTTTGTATTGTTAGTAGAGACGGGATTTCTCCATGTTGGTCAGTCTGGTCTCAAACTCCTGACCTCAGGTGATCAGCCTGCCTCCGCCTCCCAAAGTGCTGGAGATTACAGGTGTGGGCCACCGTGCCTGGCCTCATCTGTACTATATTCTTTCTAGTCTCAGAATCTGTGGTTATGCTGTTTCTTTACCTAGAATCTATTTCACACATATTAAACATTATTCTTCCCTTAACTTTCATTCAGCAGTCATCTTCAAAATCTTTCCATAAATATCACTTAACTATACATCAGCTCTACCCTAATTTGGTCAGGTTGCCTCTGTTATATATGCTTGTATCTCCCTATACTTTACCTATATATCACTTACCATAACTTGCAATCATATATTTAGTTGTGTGATTGCTGTTAATATGTTTAGTGAAAGAAACAGTGCAAGCTCCATGTGGACTTAGAATGACTTATAATTTTTTATCCCTAGTACTGAACACATAGTAAAGACCAGTAAAACATTTTTGTGTCATCTAACTAAATTTAATTTTTCCTGGGAATGGAATAGTATTTCTTTTTGTTCTTTTTTCTTTTTTCTTTTTGTTTTTGAGATGGGGTCTTGCTTTGTCACCCAGGCTGGAGTGCAGTCACGTGTTCGTGGCTCAAGGCAGCCTCAAACTTCTGGGCTCAAGTGATCCTCCTACCTTAACCCTTAGCTTCCTGGGTCGCTGGGACCACAGGTGCATGCCACCACGCCTGGCTAATTTTTGTAGAGACAGGGTCTCCCTGTGTTACCTAGGCTGGTCTCAAACTCCTGGGCTCAAGCAATCCTCCCATCTCAGCCTCTCAAAGTGCTGGAATTATAGGCATGAGCCATCACACCCAGCCTGAAAAATTTGTATGAGTCTGTTGAGATTGTGGTATAAATACAGAGGAAACATATGTTTGTGTAAATTGTTTCTACTTTTAAAATATTCTTATGTTGTCAAAAGTTTTTTTTTGTTTTGAGATGGAGTCTCACTGTGTCGCCCAGGCAGGAGTGCAGTGGTGGATCTCGGCTCACCGCAACCTCCACCTCCTGGGTTCAAGCAGTTCTCCTCACTCAGCTTCCCGAGTAGCTGGGATTACAGCCACGCACCACCACGCTGGCTAATTTTTTATATTTTTGGTAGAGATGGGGTTTCACCATGTTGGCCAGTCTGATCTCGAACTCCTGACCTCAAGTGACCCACCCGCCTCAGCCTCCCAAAGTGCTGGGATTACAAACCTGAGACACCGTGCCTTGTCATCAAAAGTTATTTATGTCTTGGTCGTTAATTCTTCCCTCCCTCTACCCTCTTCCCCAACAAAGCTTTTTTTTTTTTCTTTTTTTTTTTTTTTTTTTCTGAGACTGAGTTTCGCTCTTGTTCCCCAGACTGGAGTGCAATGGCAGATCTCGGCTCACTGCAACCTCTGCCTCCTGGGTTCAAGTGATTCTCCCACCTCAGCCTCCTGAGTAGCTGGGATTACAGGCGCCTGCCACCACGCCTGGCTAATTTTTGTATTTTTAGTGGACATGGGGTTTCATCAGGTTGGCCAGGCTTGTCTCGAACTCCTGACCTCGAGGAATCTGCCCGCCTTGGCCTCCCAAATTGCTGGGATTACAGGCGTGAGCCACTGTACCCAGCCAAGATTAATTTTTAGATATATTTATTTTTTAAAAATTAGAGATTTAGCCGGGCATGGTGGCTCACACCTGTAATCCCAGCACTTTGGGATGCCGAGAGGGGAGGATCACCTGAGGTCAGGAGTTCGAGACCAGCCTGACCAACATGGAGAAACCCCCTTTCTACTAAAAATACAAAATTAGTCAGGCATGGTGACGCATGCCTGTAATCCTAGCTACTTGAGAGGCTGAGGCAGGATAATTGCTAGAACCCAGGAGATGGAGGTTGCACCATTGCACTCCAGCCTGGGCAACAAGAGTGAAATTCCATCTCAAAAAAAAAAAAAAAAATCAGGGACTTAGATAAACTTAAGAGACTGGGGTCCTGGATGGAACTTTATTACTACAAATCTCCTCTCAGGCAGGGGACTACTTCCCATCTCTAAAATGAGGGAATGGAACTAGATGTTTTATCATGGCTGTAATTCTGTAAAAGTGTAAAAAGATGGATTACAGTAATACAAATGTGGTATAAAAAGTTGTGAAATAAGACTGGACTTGTGGTTCTTTTTCAACAGTTTAATTGAAAAGAAAGACACTCAATTTTTTTCCTTTTTCTTTGTTTTCCAGGTTATATTTCACACTATGTGCTGACTGTATCTACAGAAGATATTTAAAAAAAAAAAAAAAGATAAACTTTTTTTCAAAGATTTTGATTCCAGTGGAATCTTTGCTTTAGATTTGCGTGTGTGTTTGTGTTCGTGAATTGTAACTCCAGAAGCAATGCCTGTACAAGCTCCACAATGGACGGATTTCCTCTCCTGCCCAATTTGCACTCAGACTTTCGACGAAACAATTCGAAAGCCCATCAGTTTGGGTTGTGGCCATACTGTCTGCAAGATGTGCCTGAATAAACTCCACCGCAAGGCTTGCCCATTTGACCAGACCACTATCAATACAGACATTGAGCTCCTCCCTGTGAACTCAGCATTGCTGCAGCTCGTGGGTGCTCAGGTAAGATGGGTGACTTTAATACTTTTAAATTTCTCTCTCTCTCTTTCTCTCTCTCTGTCTCTCTTTCTCTGTGTGTGTGTGTGTGTGTGTGTGTGTGTTGTGCATGTTTTTCTCCTGAGAGAAACCTGTTGAATTAAAATTGGGTAACATTGCCTTCTATTTAAATAGGTATAATTCTGTTTGGTACTGTAAATCCTTTATTTCAGCATGTTAGATTTATTGTGGTAGTCCAGTGCTTTTTAGTCATAGTACAGTAGCATCCATTTAATCTTGTCAGATATTCAATAAACCTAGCTATGCAGATCACTAGAGAAACCTAAGGCCGGGTGTGATGGCTCATGTCTGTAATCCCAGCACGTTGGGAGGCCAAGGCTGGTGGATCATTTGAGGTCAGGAGTTTGAGACCAGCCTGGCCAACATGGTGAAACCCTGTCCCTACTGCAAATACAAAAAAATGAGCTGGGTGTGGTGGTGTGTGCCTGTAATCCCAGCTACTTGGGAGGCCGAGGTACGAGAATCCCTTGAACCCAGGAGGCGGAGGTTGCAGTGAGCCAAGATCGCGCCACTGCACTCCAGCCTGGGTGACAGAGTGAGACCTTGTCTCAAAAAAAGGAAAGAAACCTAAGAAGTAAGTCATAAGGACCTTTTTTAACATTGAGAAAACTATTGTTCATAAAACCACTGCACTTTACTCAGTAGTGAAGGTGCAGCTGCTTCAGGCAGTTTTACTCAGTAGATATTAACTGAAATGAAAGATGAGAAAGGTGACAAAAACTATAGCACAACGTTTGGGAACCATTAGAACACACTTAATGCTTTATAGACTCAAAAATGGTTAAGATAGTAAATTTTATGTTATGTATATATTATCACAATAAAAAAGATTTCCTAAATTTTCCTTTCATCTAAAAGGAAAAAGAAAAAATAAATTTAAATTAGACTTTAAAATATATCATCACCAATTTGTCCTAGGAATGTAAGGTTGATTTAACATCTGCAAACCAATTAATGTAATTCACTATATCAGTAAAAGTTGCAAAATTGCACACATATGATCATCTCAACAGACACAGAAAAAGCATTTGGCAAAATCCAGTACCTTTTCATAATAAAAGCACTGAAACAACTAGGAAAAAAACTTCAACCCAAAGGACATGGATGAAAAACCCACAGCTAACATACTGAATGGCGAAAGACTAGAAGCTTTTTCTTTAAGATCAGGAACGAGTTAAGGATCTCTACTCTTAACTGTTTCTGTTGAACATCATACAGGACCTTCTAGTCAGGGCAATTAGGCAAGTAAATTAAACCAATGACATTCAGATAAGAAGTAAAAAATAAAAACAATCTCATTCACAGATGGCATGGTCTAATATATAGAAAATGTTAAGGAATCTACAAAGGAAAAGCTATTAGAAACAAAAAACTAGGCAAAGTTGCAGGATATAGGATGAATATATAAATATCAGTTGTCTGAAAAAGCAAAAGTGTTTCTAAGGTGTAAAAATGTGTTTACAGTGTTTCATAATTTCTTTCTTTCTTTTTTCTTTACTCTGTCATCCAGGCTGGAGTACAGTGGCATCATCTTGGCTCACTGCAATCTCCGCCTCTCAGGTTCAAGTGATTCTCGTGCTTCAGCCTCCCAAGTAGCTGGGATTACAGGTGTGTACCACCATGCCCAGCTAATTTTTGTATTTTTAGTAGAGACAGGGTTTCGCCACATTGACTATGCTGGTCTCAAACTCCTGGCCTCAAGTGATACACCTGTCTCGACTTCCCAGAGTACTGGGAATACAGGCATGAGCCACCATACCCAGCTAGTGTTGCATACTTTCATCCATGTAATACATTAATAGTAGTTTTCTTACACACATAAGAAAGACTTTCTGGCACATAGTAGGCCCTTAATGAAGATTTGTTAAATAAATAATATATATGTTGTATTTCTATATACTAGCAATGGACAATCTGAAAATAGAAATCAATTTCATCTACAAGAGCATTAAAAAAATATTAAGAATATATTTAACAAAAGAAATGTAAAATTAGGCTGGGTGCAGTGGCTCATGTCTGTAATCCCAATAGTTTGGGAGGCCGAGGCTAGCAGATCTCTTGAGGCCAGGAGTTCCAAGACCAGCCTGGCCAACAAGGTGAAACCCCATCTCTACCAAAAAAATACAAAAATTAGCCAGGCGTGAAGGTGCCCACCTGTAATCCCAGCTACTTAGGTGGCTGAGGCATGAGACTCGCTTGAACCCAGTAGGCAGAGGTTGCAGTGAGCTAAAAATCATGCTACTGCCCTCCAACCTGGGTAACAGAGTGACTCTGTCAAAAAAAAAAAAAAAAAAAGTAAAACTATATTTTGAAGACTACAGATCATTGTTTAAAAGAAACTTAAAACTTGAATAAACATTTACTCATATTAACTCAAAATGGATCAAAGGCTAAATATAAGAACTAAAACTACTAAACTCTTAGAAGAAAATATAGACGTAAGTCTTCATGACCATGGAGTAGGCAGTGGGTTTTTTTTAAGATATGACACCAAAAAGCACAAGGAACAAAAGAAAAAGATAAGTTGAACTTCATCAAAATTAAAAACTGTGTTTCAAAGATATGAACAATTGGCCGGACACAGTGGCTCACGTCTGTAATCCCAGCACTGTGGGAGGTCAAGATGGATGGATCGTTTGAGACCGGCCTAGGCAACATGGCAAAACCCCACCTCTACAGAAAATACAAAAAAAAAAAAAAAAAAAATTGCTGGGTATGGTGGCACATACCTGTAGTCCCACCTGTCTGTGAGGCTGAGGTAGGAGCATCACCGGAGCCCAAGAGGCCAAGATGGATGGATCATTTGAGACCCACCTAGGCAACATGGCAAAACCCCATCTCTACAGAAAATTAAAAAAAAAAAAAATTGCTGGATGTGGTGGCACATGCCTGTAGTCCCACCTATCTATGAGACTGAGGTGGGAGCATCACCTGAGCCTGATCACCCGATCGAGGCTGCAGTTGAGCCTCGATCACAGCACTACGCTCTAGCTTGGGCGACAGAATGAGACCGTATCTCAAAAACAACAGTGACAACAAAAAAAAAGATACCAACAAGAAAGCAAAATGAACAACCCACAGAATGTGAGAAAACAATTGTAAAATCCTATTTCTGATAAAGACTTACATGTAAAATATATAAGGAACTCGTAAACTCAGTGATAAAAAGACAACCCAATTTTTAAAATGGACAAAGAGCTGAACAATCACCTCGTCAAATAGATTATACAGATGGCAAATCAGCAAAATGAAAAGTAGCTGAGCAGTTTGTCTTTAAGTAATTGCAAATTAAAGCAAGTGAGAAACCACTACACATAAATTAGAATGACCAAAATCCAAAACATTAGCAACACCAAATGCTGGTGAGGATATGGAGCAACAAAAACTCTCATCCTTTTGGAAATGAAAAATGGGATAGCCACTTTGCAAGACAGTTTGGCATTTTCTTTACAAGCTTAACATAATAGGTATTTACCCAGTTAACTTGAAAATTTATGGCTACACAGAAACCTGCACATGACTATTTATAACAACTTTATTCATGATTGCCAAAAAATGGAAGCCGTTGAGATATCTTTTAATAGGTGAATGGATAAACAGTGGTATATCCATACAATGGAACATTGTATAAAATGAAGTAATAAAAAGACATAGCTGTCAAGTCACAAAAAGACATAGATACATCTCAATGTATATCATTGCTAAGTGAAAGATACCAGTATGAAAAGGCCACATACTGTATGATTCCAATTTTATGATATCTGTAAAAGGCAAAACCATAGCAACAATAGAAGTATCAGTGGTTGCCATGGATTCAGGAGTAGGGAGGGAGGATTGAATTGGTAAAACAGTATTTCTTAGGGCAGTAAAGCTGTTCTTTATGATTCTGTAATTGTGGCTATATGACACTGAATTTGCAAAAATTGTAGAATTTTACAAAGATTATGGAAACAATCTGAAGTATATGAAACAATTTCACTAAAGGGGTGGAGGAGAAAGAGGATTGTGTAAGATTAAAGATAGAGGAAGATATTATCTATAAGCAGTGTACTCTAGTCTTTTCCCACGGGGGTACGAATTCTGATACTGCTGTATATATAATACATATTAGAATTGAACAGTTAAGTAAATGAATGGCAAATGGTTGGAGCCAGTTTACGGATAAGCAAGGAGGAAGAGGTTAGAATGATTCATGTGGTAATGGATTAGAGTTGGAGGCATCAATATGAACTCATTTTTAGCTTGATATGGATACAGATAGTTATATACAGAAATAGATACGTGTATATCTCGGGTTATTACACTGACATATTTCCTTGCTCTGTCATCTAAGATGGCCTAGAAAGAACAGCACCCCAATAGCAATGTGTATACATAGCATTCATATCTTGGTTTCTAATACCATTCTCCAATAAAGGGAACCAGAGTTCCTTGGAGAAATGGCTAATTCTAAGACTGAGACAGGAAATACACAAAATGAGTCTGGAGTAGCTTGTAGCACTGGAAAGTATAGAGAAGTATTCAAAACACACACAGATACATACACAGAGTAATGGGGGCTATATCAAAGGCACACAGGAGCCAACTGAAAGAGCTCTCACTGGCCAAAGCTAAAACAGTTTGAACAACAAAATAAATGGAATTGGATTATAACCCAGGTATAAGATAAATATCCTTGAGTCTACATGATAAAATTAAATGATTGAATAAATAAATGGAAGAAAGAAACAAATCTCCCATGCAGAATTCCAAATTAATTACATAAATATTCTACTCTCAAGGATGGAGAGTGTGTGTGGGCTATGCGTAGTGACTCCTTCCAAAAAGTACAATTTGGAAGGTGGGAGATTATGGAACTTTATAGGGGAGAAACCTGGTAAACACTGACTAAACCAGCTGATCAAATTTAACATCAGCAGTAATAAGTCATGTTGGTGGTGTGTAGCTTTGATGTGCTGTGATAAAAATGGTAATTTCCCCCTATGATCTTCCAAAAATCCATAACCACAGTATACTCATGAGAAAAATGACAGATCTTAGATCCCAGTTTAGGGGCATTCTGCAACATACCAGACCAGTACTCAAAACTGTCAAGGTCATTAAAACAAGGAAAGTCTGAGAAAGCTGTCCAAGCCAAGAGGAGCTTAAAGAGACATGGAAGGGCCAGCGCAGTGGCTCACACCTGTAATCCCAGCGCTTTGGGAGGCTGAGTTGGGCAGATCACTTGAGGCCGGGAGTTGGAGACCAGCCTGGCCAACACAGTGAAATCCCATCCTACTAAAAATACACAAAATTAGCTGGGCATGGTGGCGCATGCCTATAATCCTAGCTACTCGGAAGGCTGAGGCATGAGAATCTCTTGAACCTGGTAGGTGGAAGTTGCAGTGAGCCGAGATTATGCCACTGTACTCCAGCCTGGGCGACAGAGTGATACTTTGTCTCAACTTAAAAAAAAAAAAAAGGGAGAGACATGGAGGGAGAGAGGGAGGCCAAGGTGGGTGGATGGCCTGAGCCCAGGAGTTTGAGGCCAGTCTGGACGATGTAGTGGGACCCCCATCTCTACAAAACAATGCAAAATTAGCTGGGTGTGGTGGCGTGTGCCTACAGTCCCAGCTACTCAGGAGTCTGAGGTGGGGGATCACTTGAACCTGGGAGGCAGAGGTTGCAGTGAGCCCAGATGCTGCCACTGCACTCCAGCCTGAGTGACAGAGCAAGACTCTATCTTTGAAGACTAACTGTAATACGGTATCCTGAATGGGATCCTGGAACTGAAAAAGAACATTAGTTGAAAACTAAGGATATCTGATTAACATATGGATTTTAGTTGTTAATTATGATATGTTGATATTGGCTCATTAATTTTAACAAATGTACCATACCAATGTAAGATGTTAATAATAGGGGAAACTGTTAGCTGGGCGTGGTTGCTCGCTCCTGTAGTCCCAGCTACTCGGGAGACTGAGGCAGAAGAATCACTTGAACCCAGGAGGCGGAGGTTGCAGTGAGCCAAGATGGTGCCACTGCACTCCAGCCTGGGTGACAGAGGGAGACTCCGTCTCAAAAATAATAATAATAATAATAGGGGAAACTGAATACAGGATAATGAGAATTCTGTGTACTATCTTTGCCACTTTTTTGTAAATCTAAAACTGTTCTACAAAATAAAGTTTACTAGGCAAAATGGGTAAAAGATCTGAATAGACATTCCTCCAGAGAAGATATACAAGTGGATAATAAGCATATGAAAGGATGGTCAACATCATTAGCTATCAGGGAAATACAAATCAAAACATAATGAAGTCAGAGAAAGGTAGATGGGAAGAAGAGATAATTATCAAAGAATACAAAGCTTCAGTTAGACCAGATAAATACTTTTAGTGATCTGTTGCACAGAATAGTGACTATAAATAGTAATACATTGTATGTTTCAAAATTGCTAAAAGAGTAGATTTTATTTAAAATCTACAAAAAAAAAAGTGAGGTGATGAATTTGTAAATTAACCTGCTTTAGTCATCTCATGTTGTAAACGTATCAATCAAAACGTCACGTTGTACCCCATAAATATTTGCAATTATTATTAATTTAAAATAAAATTTAGAAAAACCACAATGAATTACTACTTTCCACCCAACAGGATAGCTATAATAAAAAAGATAATAATAAGTAGAAGAATTATCTTTCTACATTAAATGTAGAAGAATTGGAACCCTTATACGCTCCTGGTAGGCATATAAAATGCTACTCTGCTTTTGGAAAATAGCTTGGCAGTTTTTCAAAAGGTTAAATACAGATTCCTAGGTATATACCAAAGAGAAACAAACACTTTTGTCCACAAAAACTTGTACACAGATGTTCATAGCAGCATTATTCATAATAGTCAAAAATAGTCTGTCAATTGATGATTGTATTAATAAAGTATGGTATATTTATACAATGGAATGTTATTCAGTGATGAAAATGAAGTACTGATACAACCTGGAAGACCTTTGAAAACATTGTTAAGTGAAAGAAGCAAGTCAGAAAAGACTATATATTGTGTTGATTTTGCTTGTATGAAATGTCCAGAATAGGCAAATCCATAGAAAATAGATTCATCTTTCCAAAGGTTGGTGGATGGTTGGGAAAAAATAAGGGGTGATTGTTAAAAGGGTACTGTGTTTCTTTTTGGGCTAATGAAAAGATTCTAAAGTTCATTGTGGTTATGTTTGCACAACTGTGAATATACTGAAAACCATGGAATTGTATATACTTTAAACCAGTCAGTTGTATAGTATGTGGATTATATCTTAATTAGGCTGTTAGAGAAACAAAACAAAGGAATGCAAAGATACATGTTAATAGGAAAGATCTTTTGAAAGAATTCAGTAAATTTAGTGGGTGTTTTGATGTTGCCAGTGTTAGCATTATGAGTGCATAAACTATGCTAAATAAAACATTTAATTAATGAATCGAGCACTCATACAGATCTTTTCTTTTGGCCTCCAGGTCCCTGAGCAGCAGCCTATTACTTTATGTAGTGGGGTTGAAGACACAAAGCATTATGAGGAAGCTAAGAAATGTGTAGAAGAATTAGCATTGTACTTAAAACCGCTCAGCAGTGCTAGAGGTAAGTTTGTTTTTGTTTCTTGTTTAGAGTAAAATTGCTTTTTTAAATACTCAGTACATAATCCTATATATTATAAGTCCTGAGGAATTCCCAAAAAACCTAACTAGAGGTAAATTTAATGCAATTATCCATACTAAGTGAATGTCTACTAAAGAAACTTGTTACCATAAAAATTGTGAGCTATTAAGCGAATGTTAATGAAATTTACCGATTGTAAACTAAACTCATTTTGTGCTAAATATCATTACACAAACCACAGCAAATAAAATAGTGAATTTTGAGTTTATGTGATGATGGAAACATTATTTGAATGATCATAAAAGCAAATGTAACTACTTACCTCGGAAGTGCTTTCCATCATTTGACAACTCTGAATGGTTTGCCTTCTATCCAGTTTTATATGCTATGGCGTATAGGCGGTATAATAAATATGGAAGTTGCCATTTTTGCACAGAAAGGGCTTGCTATTTAATTAGGAAAGGAAAATTAACCACTCTGAAATAATATACCAGAACTCTTAGGACCTCAAGATTTAGATTATAAACTAATTATCAATGTTGTCTAGTCCTTTTTTCTTTCTTCCTCTATGATAAAAATGAGTAATGGTATATTTAATGTCATAATGAATTTAAGTGCACATGAGATAACTCATGTATACATTTGTATACTTTAAAGATATATACATAAGTAAGCTTTACGTGTGTGGTTTTATTTGTTGTTTCTTTTAAATACTGTTATCTATTCACATACCCACAAGTTAACCCAACAGAAAAATTGCTCCTGGACTTTAAAATTACATTTTGAACCTAGGAATAACTTCTTTCCTCATTTAAAGGAGTGGGTCTGAACAGCACTACTCAGAGTGTTCTGAGTCGCCCAATGCAGAGGAAACTTGTGACTCTAGTCCACTGTCAACTAGTAGAAGAAGAAGGCAGGATTCGTGCTATGAGGGCAGCTCGATCTTTAGGTGAACGAACAGTTACAGAGCTCATTCTCCAGCACCAGAATCCTCAGCAACTCTCTTCCAATCTTTGGGCAGCAGTAAGAGCTAGAGGATGCCAGTTCCTTGGACCAGGTACATAATTAAGTTTTGGTATTTATTCTGCTGGTAGTTCTGAAATTATGATGTAGGAATTATAAGTGATGTACAAAGCCTAGTTCTTTGCAGTATTTTATTGTTACCAACTAATGTCTTGTTTGATGTTCATGGCTTGGGCAATTCCACATAACTTAGTGGACTTACTAAGTGAACTTAAAACTTTTCTCTTAGTGCCAAAAGTTGTTTCTTTTTTAAAGTTTTTAAATTTTTCCTTTTTTTCACACCTGTAGCAGGAAGTTCATTCATTTTGATAGAAGTTTTTCTTAAATGTATTAATCACTTATCTGTTTTCTTTATAAAATATATAGAATGTAATACAAAATTGCCCACAAAAATGGTGTAAAAGTGTGTTGCTGGTTAATCTTATTGTATTGCCAGTTAATTGAGTGAATAGCTGCAGAAATGATTAAATATTCCCCTTCTAATAAGTGGATTTATCTTATCTATGTACTTGATAAATTTTGGTTTTGCCCAACTTTCCCTAGCAATGCAGGAGGAAGCTTTAAAACTGGTTCTGCTGGCCTTAGAAGATGGTTCTGCTTTGTCAAGAAAAGTATTGGTTCTCTTTGTGGTGCAAAGGTTGGAGCCACGGTTTCCTCAAGCCTCTAAAACTAGCATTGGGCATGTTGTTCAGCTCCTTTATAGAGCCTCCTGTTTCAAGGTATGAACCTACATTAAAGCTCAGCTTGAAAGGAAGCATTGTTATTTCCCCAAACTTAAGTAGTAAAACTTTGAGTTTAATAAAGTTGCCTGTGTCTTTTCAGAAAATTTCAGCAATTTTTCTGTATTATTTTAAAGAATGTAGATGGTGTCTTATTATAGTTAAATCCTATTATATTGAATTTTTGTATGTTCGATATTGAACAACATAGATCAAATCAAGGTTTATAGATTTTTGTATTCGAAGAGACTAAGAAACTATGTCAATTTCTTACCAAGACTGTGCAGAATTGGTCTGAAGACAGAGTTATTGAAGCACAAATAAATTTTATTTATTTATTTTTATTTTTTTGAGACGAAGTCTTGCTGTCGCCCAGGCTGGAGTGTAGTGCACAATCTCTGCTCACTGCAGCCTCCACCTCCTGGGTTCAAGCGATTCTCCTGTCTCAGCCTCCTGAGCAGCTGGGATTACAGGTGCCCATCACCATGCCCGGCTAATTTTTGTGTTTTTAGTAGAGACGGAGTTTCACCATGTTGGCCAGGCTGGTCTCAAACTCCTGACCTCAGGTGATCTGCCCGCCTCAGCCTCCCAAAATGCTGGGATTACAAGCGTGAGCCACCGTGCCCAGCCAAATAAATTTTATTCAGAGATTTTCTCCTAGTGTAATTCCACATATACAGTAATGAAGTTCCATTTGCCATTTCAGTCTATATGGTAATGCTGGACATAGTCTCTTATCCCAAATTGAATAAGCACCGCCTCAAACATTGCTACTCACCATGTATCATTTATTGCTCATCCAGTATTATTTTTCTGACTTTTTTTTTGAGATGCAGTCTTGCTCTGTCACCCAGTCTGGATTACAGTGGTGTAGTCTTGGCTCACTGCATCCTCTGCCTTCTGGGTCAAGCAGTTCTCCTGCTTCCAGCCTTCTAAGTAGCTGGGATTACAGGTACCTGCCACCATACCTGGCTAATTTTTTTTTTTTAACTTTTAGTAAAGACAGGGTTTCACCATGTTGGCCAGGCTGGTCTTGAACTCCTGACCTCAGATGATCTGCCCACCTCGGTCTCCCAAAGTGCTGGGATTACAGGCATGACCCACCACACCCAGCCTATTTTCCTGACTTTTAAAAATCAAACTGTCTTGATTCTGACACAGCTTATAACCAGTACTTGAAAACCGTGTCTTTAAAAAAATTAATTCATTCATGCTAGCTGTAAGGAAATCCATTCTCAGATCACCACATTCTTGTCATCTGACACTCATAAACTAAAAAAATGCCACATTAGCTATCCTACTAAATTCTGTTCTCTCATCCTTTGAGAAGGAGGAAATGGTTTACAAAATTAGCAGAAGAGCATATAGATTTCATTTAAACAAAATTTTTAAAGCTCTAGCTAAATGCTGGTCTTATTCTGTGTCTTTGTGGAGTCAGACTATATGTTGAAAATGGGCCTCTATTTTCTATAGGTACCACTGAAGCTGTAAGAACCTCTAGCTAAAATTACTTTAACTGGTCCAGATTGTCTCTGAATAACTCACTCTTGTTGTAGTGGTTAGAGTAACATGATTTTACAGTGCAGTTCAGAATACATTCTGGAACGTCTGTCTGCTTCCATTGTTAATTGTTATCCATTAACAGCACCAGACAGATACAATATAGGAAGCTTTGGAAAGAAAACATTCAACCCTCCCCTGTAAAGAAGAATACGTGACTCAAAAAAACCCAGAATACCTAGGAAGTGAACCTCTCTGAACTCTAAAGCATTAACAGGAATATGGCCAGGCGCAGTAGCTCACACCTGTAATTCCAGCACTTTGGGAGGCTGAGGTGGGCAGATCATTTGAGTTCGAGACCAGCCTCGCCAACCTAGTGAAAAAACCTGTGTGTACTAAAAATAAAAAATAAAAAATAATTAGCCAGTTGTGGTGGCACACACCTGTAATCCCAGCTACTGGGGAGGGTGAGGCAGGAGAATTGCTTGAACCTGGGAGACAGAGGTTACAGTGAGCCAAGATCATGCCACTGCACTCTAGCCTGGGTGACGGAGCAAGACTCCACTTAAAAAAAAAAAAAATAGGAATAAAGAAAATTGGAAATTTGTAAAAAGCTGCTTTTTCACTCAGGTCATGATTATTTTCCTTGCAGGAATATGTATCCATACAGCTGTATTCTGGCTGTGTCCTTTTAGTGTCTCCTGTATTTCCATTGGAAAAGCCTTTTGAGCTGCAAGATAATTTGTTCTTTCTTAGTAGAATAAAGTTCTGAGACTTAGACATTTCATCTCTTGGAAATCCTTGATTGTTTTTAGTTAAAGATTGAGTGGTGAGAGCCAAGTTCAAGGAACCATTGTTACATATAGAAAGCATACTTTACATTTTAATGAGGTTCAGCATATATTGAGGGAGTGCTAAACATATGTATTTGGTCTTTTGACTTGCCTTTTAATAATGGCACAATATATTCAGTTTTTGTGACTGTAGTTCTTGATTTTTATCAATTTGGTCTTATATAGATGTTCCTAACAAAAAGTAAGTTAGACTTTCTTCCTTGTAATAAGAATAGAATGCATTTATTTATTTACTTGTTTTTTGAGCGATAGAGTCTTGCCGTGTTGCCCAGGCTGGCCTTCAACTCTTGGGCTTAAGCAATCCTTCCGCTCAGCCTCAGTAGCTGGACTACAGGCACATGCCACCACTCACATTAATTTTTTATCAGTGTGACTTAGAAGTCTTGATTACAATATTTTGTAGTTTCTTTGGTGAGAGGGAAAAAAACAGGAATTATATACAAGAAGAATATGAGTCCTTATGGCAATAAAAGGTTAACAAGGCAAAATGTGTTCTGAAATATGTTAGGGTAGAGGTTATCTTAAGCTAGACTTAATTATTTTGCTTTGATTTGTTAAGCATTTGGCCTAAATCCAACTTGACTCAGAATGTAAGTTATTGGGGTGATAACAGTACACCTACCTCAACAAGAGAAGTCAATGAGTTAATCCAGTACTATAATGGTTAATAATATAATTTAATATATTGGCTGGCACATGCCAGGTGCTCAAAACGTGGTAGCTATTTTTATTACTAAATGATATTATTTAATCATAATCATTATGATTATTCTAGTCTAGCATCTCACACTTTACACTTTCTGGTAGTAGCCCATCCCACAAAACTCCATGGAGAATTAAGCCAAGTACAAATTAAATCATTTTTAGAGTTAAACCAGCATCTGAAGCTCTGCAGTCATCAATCGCAACTAGCTCATTGTCAGGCAAGCCCAAGAGTCATAATCCACATTTATGGAGAAGAAACATATTGTTTTTCAGAATATATAATCGTATTAGTGTTTTTTTCTTTTAAAAAATGCATATACACACATACACACCTTAAACTGCATGTATATGTTAAAGTCTGTCAAATCGTTGGATTTCATTCCAGCACATACAGATTGACTATACAAAAATCAAAAATCCAAAACTTTTTGAACACCAACATGATGCTCACATGCTCATTGGAGCATTTCAGATTTTCAGAGTAAGGATATTCAAGTGGTTTAATGCAGATATTCCAAAATTTGAAAAAATCTGAAATCTGATAACACTTCTGACCCAGGCATTTTGGATAAGAGATTTTCAGCCTGTATTTATTCTTTCTGAAAGACCTATCTAGAAAATGTTGGCCTAAATCCAACTTGACTTAGAATGGGATGATAACAATATACCTACCTCAACAAGTTGAGGAGAAAATATTTTGCAGGCAAATGGTATATTCATTTAATCTTGTTGTTGCTGCTAAAATTGTTACGTTAAAAATTATGTGTTCATATAAAGCATAAATTAATTTTTTTGACTTCATTATGAGATTATTTGTGTCTTATTAGGTCACCAAACGTGATGAAGACTCTTCTTTGATGCAGCTGAAAGAAGAATTTAGAACCTATGAAGCTCTGCGGCGAGAACATGACTCCCAGATAGTGCAGATTGCTATGGAAGCAGGCTTACGAATTGCACCAGACCAATGGTCCTCTTTGCTTTATGGAGACCAGTCTCACAAATCTCATATGCAGTCCATTATTGACAAGGTAGAACCTTTTTTGTTCCTTACTTCTTGGACTAATCTTGGCCTTTTGGTAATTCATTTAACAAATGTATATTAAAGTGAATACTGTATAGCTTTTGTAAATTGTAGTTATAGCCAGTGTCATGTCATAACCAATCACATTATAATACCACTTTGTTCATATAAAGAGATGATTAGTTTATATTTTTAATTTTATTTATTTTATATTTTATTTTATTTTTACTAGAATCACAGAGATGATTGCCCACTCTAGAGACCACTCTACATTTAATTTAGAGAAATAGAGTCAAATAGTAAGAGTAACCTAAAAAAAAAAATAATGAACATTTACTAAAATTTTAGTATGTATCTAGTGGTTTTAAATAATTCATTTAATCCTCTCAACAGCCCTGTATTATCCATTTTAGACAAAGACAAAGGGAAGTTAATATGTTTTTCCAGCATCACATAGATGGTAAATGACAGAAGTGGATATGAACTTGGGCATTCTCACTGTAGAATACACTAACCTTTTACCAAACTATTCCCCCGCCCCGCTCCTTTTTTTTTTTTTTCTATTTCTAAAGATAGAATCCCTTGAATGGGTAATAAAGTGAGAATTGGGAAATACGTGTTTTAAATGCCTGGTGTAGGGTGGGCACAGTGGATTATGCCTGTAATCTCAGCACTTTGAGAGGCCAAGGTAGGAGGATTGCTTGAGGCCAGGGGTTCGGGCACAACCTGGGAAACATTGGGACACTCATCGCTACCAAAAAAAAAAAAACCATAGCCAGGTGTGGTGGTAGACACCTGTAGTCCCACCTAGTTGGGAGGCTGTGGTGGGAGAATCCTTGAGCTCAGGAGTTTGAGGGTGCAGTGAGCTATGTGAGACCCTATCTCTTTAGGGGGAAAAAAAGGTGGTACATAATTTTTAGTTACAATGTAGGTTGTTTGCTCTGTCCTGTAAGTCTTCTCTGGATACCTTTAACCAGACTTTACCTGCAACTCTTAGATTTGGACAGGAGCTTGTATCTGAAGTTTTGCAACTGATTTATAATTTATGGAAATGCTTAGTAATGATCTATTAAAGGAGTACCTTTCTACCTCTGAAGAGAAACTTGGTTTGCTTTTTTCTTTTTTTTTCGAGACGGAGTCTTGCTCTGTCACCCAGGCTGGAGTGCAGTGGCACTATCTCGGCTCACTGCAATCTCTGTCTCCCAGGTTCAAGCGATTCTCCTGCCTCAGCCTCCCAAGTAGCTGGGATTATAGGCACGCGCTACCACACCCAGCGAATTTTTTGTATCTTTAGTGAAGATGGGGATTCACCATGTTGGCCAGGCTGATCTCGAACTCCTGACCTCGTGATCTGCCCACCACAGCCTCCCAAAGTGCTAGGATTACAGGCGTGAGCCACTGTGCCTGGCCTGGCTTGCCTTTTATAAAGATTCTACAAGGTGGTTAATCTTCCTGTCTGAACTGAACTGGTAACTAGGTGTATATCCTACAATAATTTTCTCACATCACCCGCAGTGCTTTAAATTTAATATCCAGAGACCTTTGTACAACAAACTGGTAAACTTTGCGATGTGTGTGATATTTCATAGAGCAACAGAACTTTCTGTAATCATGAAAATGTTCTGTGTATGCACTGTCCAATATGGTGATCACTAGTCACACATGGCTATTAAGCACTTGAAATGTGACTTTTGCAACCGATGCACTGAAATTTTTATTTTATTTAATTAACTTAAATTTAAATAGCCACATATTGCTAAGGTTACCATATTGGATAATACAAAAGAGAATTTATTAAAAGTGATGAGAAAAGCACTAATTCTAGTAAATTAATGGAGAGAGAAACAGGAATTAACAATTCACAAAGATGACTCATCAATATATCTAACTGATGGGAGGCTGAATTGAGAGAGGTCTCACATTTGAAGAATGTGACAGCAGAGGCAATACAGTACACAATGTGCCAAGCTCTAGATGCAGAGAAGTAGAGAATTTATTTAGGTAGCAAGTAATCTAATCTGCCCAGAGTGTAGAGTGTATGGGAAGATAAAAATTAAATTTAATAAATTGTAAAAATGATTGTGATATAAATAATCTTTGTATTTAAAAGATTATCCGACCTTTGGGAAAGTTAACATTTATCTTTTTTAAGTTGCAGACCCCAGCCTCTTTTGCACAGAGTGTTCAGGAACTAACAATTGCTCTCCAGCGGACTGGAGACCCAGCAAACTTGAACCGACTAAGACCCCATTTGGAGCTGTTAGCAAACATTGACCCTAGTCCAGGTAAACCCATGGGAAATTAATGGACTGTCTTATATGTGCCTTTTGTGCTGCTCAGTGATTCTTTCATTATCTTTTGTTCTTCCTCTAGGGTTTCCTAAAGTAGTTACTCCAGATCTTTTTTACAGTATTTTAAGTTTCCATTTTAAATATTTTCCCTCTTTATCTCAGGTTAGTTCACTTTAATATTTATTTAATACTTTTTACACTGTTGCTCATTTCGTCAGGAAAATAGATCTCTCTGGGCTTCTTTATGTTTCTTCTTTCTCCCATCACAAAATTGTGTTGTATTTTACCATTCTTACCTCTTCCAAATCTCATTTTTCTCATTTTTTTTTCTGTATTATGTATCCTTAGTTGCATTTCCTTGATCCTGTTTTTGCCCTCACCATAATATCTTGTTCTTTCAAGTATCCTCTCTTGTATATGTTTACTTAGGCTTTTTCTGCTCCTTCTTCTTAAGCTGAAAATGTACCCAACCTTCATTTTTCACCTTATACTTACATCTAAGATATTTTAGCTTCTCTGTGTTTATTCCTACTACTGATCTGAAGCTCTCTTAATATTTGCTAGTAGGTTCCCAGTCTCTGATTCCAAAAACTTAGTCTTTAAATCACTCCTATTTGTTTTCAGCATTTGGATAATGTTGTTGAGCACTTTTTTGATATCTTTCTGTGATCTCATAGTTCTCTTCTGACCTGAGTGCTACTTCTGTCATATTTGTACCATGCTTTCCCCTCCTGCCCACCAAAGAGTAGGCAGGTTATGCTCTTGGGATTTTGTTTCCTCTACATGCTCTGATAGTGGTTATTCATTCTTAGCAGCAGGTATTACTTTCATGTAGAATACAGACTCCCAAATATCTGTCACTATTGTCTCTGCATCCATTCCAGATACATCTCCCAATGCTTGCTGAGATTTTCCATCATCTCCTCTGAGTGCTTCAAAGCAAGCTCATCATTACTTGATACTTGCTCTTCCTCTAATGTTTCCTCTTTCTGATAATGACCTCATTCTCTGAGGTATGTAAGTTTAAAACCTTAATATTTTGTCTTGCCTCATCTTTTCCTTTCACTTGTTTTACATACCATTTCATACAATAGGATTTATCTGTTCTTCTTTCACAATGTCCCTATATCCCCTGCTTATGATTACTTCCTTTGAGAGCCTCCTTTTCCCTGAGACTGAATGTCTTAGAAGTTCCTCTACTATGAGTTCCTCCAATCCAGTCTACTTACTGCTATAAAAGAAATCACATCCCTGATCTTGCTTCCACACTCATAAATTTTCATTGTTTGTAGAATTGCTCACGGAATAAGGTTTGACACTGATGACTATGGCATTCGGAGCCCTCTTAGTTTTTTATCAGCCTACTTTTATAGGTTTGCTCCTAAAATTGCTTAGTAAACCAGATCAATGTTACTAGAATATATAGTGATTTTTCCCCCTACTGCTGTGCTTTGATCATCCTGAGCAGTCAAAAGAGAACTTCCACAAGTTCCTAATCCATTTTTGACCCCGTTTCTCGTCTACCTACTGCTTCATTTCTTGTTTTGGCACTCTCTTGAACTCAACTCCAGTCAGGCATTTATCTCCACTGCTCTATCCAAACTTATTTTGTCAAGGTTGTAAACTACTTCCATGTAGCTAATTCCAAAGGTCAGCTCTCAGTTCTTACTGTACTTGATTTAGCAGCATTTAACATTTTATTTATTTATTTTTGGAGACACAGTTTCACTCTGTCCCCCAGGCTGGAGTGCGATGGCAAGATCTCGCTTCACTGCAACCTCTGCCTTCCAGGTTCAAGCAATTCTTGTCCCGTGTAGCTAGGATTACAGGCCTGCACCACCACATCCAGCTAATTTGTTATCATTATTTATTTTTATTTTTAGTATCTTTAGTAGAAACAGGGCTTCACCGTGTTGACCAGGCTGTTCTCAAACTCCTGACCTCAGGTGACCCGCCTGCCTCAGCTTCCCAAAGTGCTAGGATTACAGGCATGAGCCACCGTGCCTGGCCATTGTTCTGTACTCTCTCTTCCTTGAAATGCTTTTTTCTTGGCTTCTAAGCTACTAATTCTCTTCTTACTTTATTGAACTCTCCTCAGCATCCTCTGCTTTCTGGTCTCCATATCCTGTACTCTTTGGAGTGTTCTCAGAGTTTAATCCTATACCTGTTTCCTAGATAATCTTATCTATCTCATAACTTCAAATATAATTTATATAACTCACAAATTTACTGTATTTTTATCAGTTTTGAGGTTCATAATTATTTCAGATCTTAGCATTTCTGAAATTGAAATGCATTTGTGTGAAGACATATTATAATTAACAATCTTTTTTTTTCTTTGGTGGCACATAAAGTAATATGCATTACAATTGATAGTCTTTTAGAGTTTGAAATATATATCCAGCCCATGCCTTTTTCCTGAACTTGCATATAAAACTGCTTTCTCGGCCAGGTGCAGTGGCTCACGCCTGTAATCCCAGCACTTTGGGAGGCTGAGGTGGGTAGATCACAAGGTCAAGACATTGAGACCATCCTGGCCAACATGGTGAAACCCCGTCTCTACTAAAAATACAAAAACTATTTGGACGTGGTGGCGGGCCCCTGTAGTCCCAGCTGCTTGGGAGGCTGAGACAGGAGAATCGCTTGAACCCAGAAGGTGGAGGTTGCAGTGAGCCGAGATCGTGCCACTGCACTCTAGCCTGATGACAGAACAAGACTCCGTTAAAAAAAAAAAAAAATGCTTTCTGAGCATCCATCATCTTATATCTGATAAGCATTTCAAACTGAATCTATCTAAAAATGAGCTCTTCCCTGCCATCCTGTTTGTGGCAACTCTATCATTCCAGTTGCTTAGTCCAAAAATCTCAACTCTTCTTTCTCTCATAATGTATATCTGATCCGTTAGCAAATTCTGTAAGCCCTACCTTTAAAATCCATCCAGAATCCATCTACCTTCACTGCTACCATTGCCATCTCTCAGGAGATTATGGAATAGCCTCCTGTTGTCTAACTGATTTTAGCAAAAGAGCCAGAGTGACCCTGTCACCCTCTGCTCATAAATTCTCCTGTGGCTTTCTGTCACTCAGAGTAAAAGCCAAAATCTTTCCCATGATCTATAGGGTCTCGTGTGGTCTGGTCTTCCTTTACCTCTCTCAAACCTCATTTCCTACCCTTTTTTTCTCTTAATTTCCTCTTCTCTGGTTCTATCTCCATGCAACATGCCGGGCACACTTCTCACATTAAGGACTTTGCACTTATTCTTCCCTCTAACTTGGATATTTTTCCCCTAATATCTCCAGTAGGCACACTTAAGCCCTTCTTTCAGGTCTTTAATCAAATGTAACCTTCTCAAGGAGGACTTTTCTGGCCTCTGTCTAAATTTTTTTTTTTTTCTTTTGAGACAGAGTCTCCCTCTATTGACCAGGCTGGAGTGCAGTGGTGCGATCTCAGCTCACTGCAACTTCCGCCTGCCAGGTTGAAGTGATTCTCCTGCCTCAGCTTCCCGAGTAGCTGGAACTACAGGCATGTGCCACCATGCCCAGCTAATTTTTTTTTGTATTTTTAGTAGAGTGCAGTGGCTCACGCCTGTAATCTTAGCACTTTGGGAGGCCAAGACGAGCAGATTGCCTCTGTCTAAAATTTTACACATTGGCCCCACTTTTCTTAGTTCTATTTTTTCAATTCAACATTATCTAAATACTACTGTATATTTTGCTTATTTGTCTTGGTTATTATCTGGCTCTTCTCCTTGAATATAATGAGGATTTTTGTTTTAATCACTATTGCTTACCCAACAACTAGAACAATAACTCAGATTTAGCAAGTGTTCCAAAAACTACTTTTTTGAATACTTGTTCTCTTTACCTTTTTTCCTTTTCAGATTCCATGTGTCCTTCAAAGCCCAGTTCAAATGGCATCCCCTAGAATTCTTTCAGGATGTCTGAGCAGGAAGTTATCTCTACATCTCTCTTCTAGTTTCATTTTATGTATTTCTTTTAAAGAATATTTTATATTTAGCCTTATAGTTAATTTTTCTTTTATAAATCAAAGTGCTGGCATAGGGCAAATACCTACTAAATGAAGAAGACATGTAGCAGAGTTACTTTATATTATAGCTCTTCTATTAAATTTTTTTTTTTTTTTCTTGAGACGGAGTTTCGCTCTGTCACCAGGATGGAGTGCAGTGGCGTGATCTCGGCTCACTGCAACCTCCGCCTCCCAGGTTCAAGCAATTCTTTGTTTGTTTGTTTGTTTGTTTGTTTGTTTTTTGAGACGGAGTCTCGCTCTGTCGCCCAGGCTGGAGTGCAGTGGCCCGATCTCAGCTCACTGCAAGCTCCGCCTGCCGGGTTTGCGCCATTCTCCTGCCTCAGCCTCCTGAGTAGCTGGGACTACAGGCGCCCGCCACCTCGCCCGGCTATTTTTTTGTATTTTTTAGTAGAGACGGGGTTTCACTGTGTTAGCCAGGATGGTCTCGATCTCCTGACCTCGTGATCCGCCCGTCTCGGCCTCCCAAAGTGCTGGGATTACAGGCTTGAGCCACCACGCCCGGCCAGGTTCAAGCAATTCTCCTGCCTCAGCCTCCCAAGTAACTGGGACTATAGGCCCATGCCACCATGCCTGGGTAATTTTTGTATTTTTAGTAGAGACGGGGTTTTTTTTCATGTTGGACAGGATGGTCTCCATCTCTTGATCTCGTGATCCTCCTACCTCGGCCTCCTAAAGTGCTGAGATTACAGGCCTGAGCCACTGTGCCTGGCTTATTAAACTTTTTAAGCTTTTTGTTTACCAAAACTTGATTTATATAAAAGTTCAAAATAAACATGCAAATTGACTGACTACAGGCACTCCTCAGTTTTGTTTAGTCCACTCAGTGTTGGTCTGAGCAATGGTCTAAATTTCTTAGATGCCAACATTTTAAAACTGAAAAATTTTTACTTAAAAATCTTAAGTTTCAGGTTTCCCTGGGAAACAGTGAATGTATTTGGCAGTGCCAGCCTTGCATTGTCACATAACAACAATCATCTAAAGCTGAGTTATAACCATACTCTTAGATGAGGGACACGCTCTCCAGTTCAGCAGTCCCTGTCATTCGCTGTTGTCTCCTCAACCCTAAGAGTCTAATGACAGTTACCACTGTTGTGTGGCCTATTTACCTCTTTCTTGTTACCTTTCTTGTTCCTGTGGTTATTTCAGTTTGCAACCCCAGCTTTGAAAGAATATGTCCATTCCTTTAAAATGATGGTTAGGTGAATAAGCTATTATCTGAAAAGTTAAGGTGTGAAACTTGATTTCACTGAAATGTTGTCAACTAACTCTTTTATTAATTTGATATTAGGGAAAATATTGAGTAACATTAGAGTTTAAAACATTGTTATTGGTTGTATAGATGCTCCTCCTCCTACTTGGGAACAGCTGGAAAATGGGCTGGTTGCTGTGCGTACAGTGGTACATGGGCTGGTTGATTATATCCAGAACCACAGCAAAAAAGGAGCAGATCAGCAGCAGGTAAGGAAGCTGTTTAAAACTTAGAGTTAATCCACTGTGGATATGCCTTAAAACTATAGGTAAACCACTGTGGGTATACCTACAGATGCAAAGCCAAAAAGATGACATGAATATTTTGAGACTCTGACTATAGAAACTATAAATTACCTTGGCATGGTTAACAGTTTACTGCATTAGGCTGGTAATTTTATCTGACAATATTGACATTAAATAATCCTTATTGATCTAATATCATGCTGGGGTCAGTCTTCACATTGGATATGGCAGCATTTGATGGAGAAAATAGATTCAGTGCTGAAGTTTATTCCTTTTATATAAAATTATTATTCTCTTTAGTTTGTATGACATTTTGGTTTGACAATAAGTATCACTTTTTAGTGCTAATACTGTATCTTTTCAATACTATTCAAATTTCTATAGATTTTCTTATTAAAATTAAAAATTTTTTTCATTCATAGTGTCTGTTATACCAGTGGGTCAACTTTCCCTCACAGTTTTTAGATGAAATATAACGGTAGAGTATAATAACTTCTTATAGCTAGATTTTAAAATTTTATTCCCAGTAATTTTATTTTGCTCTCAGGATTTATATTAGGTTCATTAGATCTTTTATTTTGCAGTAGTAGGCCTGTGAACTTAAAACTCTTAATTTACCTGGTTCAGGTAAATATCAATAGATTATTCAGTATTCCTTTTTACTTAAGAGGCAAGAAATATAAAAAGTATCCTGCTAAGTAAAATAATCTGGATATGATTTTCCTAACCTATCTAACACAGGTCAAAGCTTTTATTTATGAATAGACATAAAAGAAAGGAGAACCTACAATTTTTAACTCTCTGTTTCATTAGACATCTTGAAGAAAATAACAAACGTAATGAGATTAACCTTTAAAGTCTGCCATATGGTGATAAAATACACTAAATTTTGTCCAGTTCAGTGTTGTGTCTCATATTTCATTAACTTTCAAATCCATCCTCTTGCCTTATCCTTGAGTTGTAGATAATATGTGTCATTTGTACTTCTGGAGATATTTTAAGTCCTTGGTATATTGTTCTGCGTGTCAAGAAGAATTAGTTACAGAATATTCTTTGATTTTAGGGCCTTTTGTAGTTTTTGTGGTGTGTTGTAAGGAAGCATACATATAGCTATATTGAACATTGTACAAAACAAATATTAGAAGATAATTTATATATTTGAAAGTCTTAAACTACAGTGGTTTGTTTTTTCATTATAAAATGTGGAAATGGGCTGGGCACAGTAGCTCACGCCTGTAATCCCAAGCACTTTGGGAGGCCGAGGCAGGCAGATCACCTGAGGTCAGGAGTTCGAGACCAGCCTGGCCAACATGGTGAAACCCTGTCTCTACTGAAAATACAAAAATTAGCCAGGTGTGGTGGTGGACACCTGTAATCCCAGCTACTCGGGAGACTGAAGCAGGAGAATCACTTGAGCTGGCAAGGTGGAAGTTGCAATGAGCCAAGATTGCGCCACTGCACTCCAGCCTGGGCAACAGAGTAAGACTCCATCTCAAAAAAAAAAAGTGGAAATGAGATCATAGTGCCCCCATGAGATTTTTCTTTTTCCATATAAAACAAGTGTAAGAATGCCCATGAAATTTATTCAAGAATTTATATGATGCTACTTGTTTGAGAATTAATATCAACATATCAGAAAAATTAGGACTACCTTCTTTTTGCTTTATTTATATTTGGACTTTGAAACTTCAGATGGAATGACTTTCCAGCACTTTTGCTCTTGGTAATCTAAATAAATATGTGAATTACTTATCTAGATTATCAAAATCCTAAAATGACAACACAAAATTTGTATTTTTTTGTGGGGGATTATTACACATCTAATATTTTGATTTTGGTTTTAGCCTCCACAGCATAGCAAATACAAAACATACATGTGTCGAGATATGAAGCAGAGAGGAGGATGCCCTCGTGGGGCCAGCTGTACGTTTGCACACTCACAGGAGGAACTGGAAAAGTAAGTGTGGAAATCAGGAGACTTTGGAATAAGGTATAAGTGGAATAATTTGCTGACATACAGAAATACAGAAAGAGTAATTGCTTTATCTTAAATAAATAGGACATTTTTAGAATGCAACATAGCTTGAACATTCCTATTCTGAAAATCTAAAATGCTTCAATATCCAAAAATGCTTGAAAGCCAACTTGACACCACAAGTTGAAAATTCCACACCTGACCTTGTGACGGATGGCAGTCAAAACTTCATGCACAAAATTATTTAAAATAATGTATAAAATTACTTTCAGACCATGTGTAAAAGATGTATATGAAACATAAATGAATTTTGTGTTATATATTTGGGTCTTATCCCCAAGACATCTCCTTTATGTATATGCAAATATTCCAAAATCCGAGACAAATCCAGTGTTTGAAACACTTCTGGTCCCAAGCATTTCGGATAAGAGATACTCAACCTGTACATAATTTTTAAAAATGAAAAGCAGTTTCTTCAGCTTTTATTGCATCATGCCTATAGATAGGAAACTATTTTATGATTAGCTAAATCTAAAAGTGGGTCGTTTTCACGACCAAAAAAATTTAAATTCTAATAATTTTAATCAATTTTAACTTAACTAATTGCATATTGTATTTCCAATGGAAAAATTTGCCCTTGGCTCAGTTTAACAAGTTCTTTTAAACTTCAAGGACAAGATAATTTCAGGAATGTTAAATTTTTCAGCTCATTGAAGAAAGAAAGGAGAAGCCTCTTAATTTATTTTATTTTTATTTTATTTTATTTTATTTTATTTTATTTTTTAAAAATAGAGACAGGGTCTCCCTATGTTGCCTAGGCTGGTCTCAAACTCCTGGTCTTAAGGGATTCTCCTGCCTTGGCCTCCCAAAGTGCTAGGATTACAGGCAGGAGCCACCACACCCGTTGCCTCTTAATTTGTTTATAAATCCAATGTAACACTTTTATTAAATTTGACAAAGATAACACAAAGAAAACTGTAAATCTATCACACGTATTAATATTAAAAATCTCAAAAATTTAAATATAATTAAATAATACATTACAATAGATGCCATGTCTATGGGCATAATACCCTGAATCCACCTGAGCTCATCTGATCTTAGAAGCTAAGCATGGTCAGGCCCAGTTAGTACTTGGATAGGAGACTGCCTGGGAATATTGGGTGCTGTAGGTGTTTTTTTTTTAATATAAATAATATAATTTTTTTTAAAGAAAAGAAAATAGATGCCATGACTCTGCAAAATTAGTACAACATAATTATCACAACTTAGAAAATAACATGATCATATGCAAAAAATGCCAAAGGCTTTTGAATAAAATTGAATGTCAATTAAAAATCAAAATTCCAGCCAGGCGCCAGTGGCTCATGCCTGTAACCCCAGCACTTTGGGAGGCCGAGGCGGGTGGATCACAAGGTCAAGAGATTGAGACCATTCTGGCCAACATTGAGAAACCCCGTCTCTACTAAAAATAAAAAAATTAGCTGAGTGTGGTGGCACACGCCTGTAGACCCAGCTACTCGGGAGGCTGAGGCAGGAGAATCTCTTGAACCCAGGAGGCGGAGGTTGCAGTGAACTGAGATTGCGCCATTGCACTCCAGCCTGAATGGCAGTGCGAGACTCTGTCTCCAAAAAAAAAAAAAAATCAAAATTTCTTAATACAATAGAAATATCATACTTTCTCAGCATGGTAATAAATCATGTTGTAAATCAGAAGCCAACATAATAGTATGATGCTTAATTAGTAAAATATTCAATTCACTCTCATTAAAGTCAAGGATAAGGCAAAATTTTCTGCTAGTAATTAGTAGTAAAATTTTCTACTAGTATTATTTAACATTGTGGAAGTAGTAGCTAATGTATGTAAGAAGGAATAAAATAGCCATAAAATTATTGTGAAAAAAAGTTAAAATTCAGAATCTCTTCTACTTTAGCAACAACAAAAAAAGATAAATACCAAATAATAGATTTGTAAAGAATAATCAGGGTGTATATAAATTGAACCAATAAATTACCTAGGAACATAAGAGAAATACTGAGTAAACATACTGTGTTCTTGGATAAGGTTTGACGCTATAAAAGTTTTATTTTTCCATAGGCAATAAATTCCAAGAAATCCGAATTTAAATCTCACCATGATGATGTTAAGATCCTATCAAAAATTCACTTGTAAAGAATAAATATGTACAAATAGCCAGGAAAATTCTGAAAAAAGAAGTTTTTGACAGGAACTAGACTAATAACTATTAACCTATATTATGGACTTCAGTGAATAAAAGACTGTAGTCTTTTGCATGGGAATAGATTAATGAAACGCAATAGAGAATCTAGGAGGAGTCTGAGATGCATGTAGGAGCTTAGCATATGTGCTAAAGGTGGCATTTCACATCAGTGACCAAAAGAATGATGGAAAATAACTGTTACCTATTTGAAAAATAGAGCTGAATTCTTACCACAATCTTTATACTAGAATGAACTCTAGATGTGTAAGAGATCTAAATATATAGGAAGAAAGAAACCACAGAGTAGTAAGAGGGTTTTTGTTTGTTTATTTTTAGTTGTTAAGGAAAGAAGGAAAATATTTTTTTAAGAACTACAACCCAGCATCCATAAAGGAAAAGATTGATAAATTTGGTTACATAAAAATTATAAAACTAAGATATGGTACAAATACAGTTTTTTATAAAGAACTTGGTGAGGAAATGACATACAGAGGGCTGATATCCTAACATAAAACGAGCTCTTACAAATCTGTAAGAAGGAGAGGAGCCAATAGATCTATGGATCATAAACATAGTTTACAGAAGAAATACTAATGACCAATTATCCTGTGAAACTAGGTTCAATCTCACTAGTTGTTAAAGAAATGCAAATTAAAGCAACTTAGTATATTTGGACTACCAAGTTAACAAAGACCAGTACTACCCAGTATTTGAGGTTTTGAATAGACGTTTTCCTTCATGATCAGTAGGACTTAAAATAGTTTTAGAGAGCAGTATGATATAAAAATTTCTAATTTGCATGCTCTTTGACCTCATTCTGCCTTTGCTTATTTGGTTATTTACACAAGGTGTAAGTACATGTTCATAATTATCTGTTACCTTTTTTATTGTTTGTTTATTTATTTTTTTTTTTTTTTGAGACTGGGTCTCACTGTCTTCCAGGCTGGAGTGTAGTGATGTGATCATGGCCCACTGCAGCCTCGACTTCCAGGCTCCAGTGATCCTCTCACCTCAGCCTCCCGAGAAACTGGGACCACAGGTGCATGCCACCATGCCCAGCTAATTTTTGTATTTTTGGTAGAGACAGAGTTTTCCCATGTTTCCCAGGCTGTTCCTGAACTCCTGAGCTCAAGTGATCCACCCACCTCAGCCTCCCAAAGTGCTGGGATTACAGGTGTGAGCCACTTCGCCCAGCCGAGGTTTTATTTTTGAAAATGAAAATGCATTAGCGGTTGTAAATGGGCTTGCTTTCATTGTTGAGGAACAAGAATCCTGGAGTCTGATGGCTTATATTTTTTCCTTTGGTTAGATTTCAGAATCAATGTGCTTGTTGTACCACAGCGTCTGTTTAAACTTAGGCAATTATTCTGTTTTGGTTCCGTTAACCTACTTTTAAAATAACTTTAATTTTGTATTGGCAGGCATAACATCAGCATCTCTGCAGCAGTTCTAATAAAAGTCACTATCCTTAATTGCTTAAATTTTTTTTTTGAAACAGGATCTCACTGTGTTGCCCAGACTAGAGTGCAGTGGTGCAATCTTGGCTCACTGCAACCTCCGCCTCATAGGCTCAAGTGATCCTCCTGCCTCAGCCTCCTGAGTAGCTGGGACCACAGGCATGCACCACCATACCCGGTTAAGTTTTTATATTTTTGGTAAAGACAGGGTTTCACCATGTTGCTCAGGCTGATCTCAAACTCCTGAGCTCAAGTGATTCGCCCGCTTCAGCCTCTCAGAGTGCTGGGATTACTGGTGTGAGCCACAGTGCCTGGCTGCTTAAATTTTTTAACAGAGTAAATGATAAATGTTTCACAGTGCATACTGGCTTTGTTTTTCTTTGTTCCTAGTTTTTAACATTGGCTCATTTATCCCAAGGCATTTGAGGGACAGCTGAAGTAAAATATTTCAGAAACTATCTTCTAAAGATTTTTCTACTAGCTTCTCCAATAAGTTTTAGAAATACAAATGTCCACAGAAATATATTATAGCAAAAATATTAATAGCGTATTTTATAATATGACAAATGTAACTCTTTTTTTTTTTTTTTTTTGAGACGGAATCTCACTATTTCACCCAGGCTGGAGTACAGTGGCGCAGTCTTGGCTCACTGCAACCTCTGCCTCCCGGGTTCATGCCATTCTCCTGCCTCAGCCTCCTGAGTAGCTGGGACTACAGGCGTGTGCCACCACACCTAGCTAATTTTTGTATTTTTAATAGAGACGGGGCTTCACCATGTTGGCCAGGCTGATCTCTATCTTTTGACATCGTGATCCACCCACCTCGGCCTCCCAAAGTGCTGGGATTACAGGCGTGAGCCACAGCACCCGGCCTATGTTACACATTTTTATGAGGAATTTTATACTTAATCTATATGTCTTTGCTGCTTGGGATTTTATGAAAAATATACACACTGATAGAGTTAATGTTTTCAAGAGAGAATATTTCTAGAAAATAATGTTAAGTACATTTTAGTTCTTGGTTTTGCTTTTATATTTGCTTTTTGATATGTGCCTATGCTTTTTATATAGATTTCGTAAAATGAACAAGCGCCTGGTTCCGAGAAGACCCTTGAGTGCCTCTTTGGGTCAACTTAATGAGGTGGGCCTACCTTCAGCAGCTATCCTTCCAGATGAAGGTGCAGTGGATCTCCCTAGCAGAAAACCTCCTGCTCTGCCAAATGGAATTGTATCAACAGGGAATACAGTAACACAGCTTATTCCACGAGGGACAGACCCCAGCTATGATTCTAGTCTGAAACCAGGAAAAATAGATCATCTGAGCAGTAGTGCTCCTGGATCCCCTCCTGACCTGTACGTCATTTTTCCTAATTCTTTTTCAAAATTTCTTCTTCATAAAGTCGAAGGAAGAAAGAACAATTAATGTTTGGGATTTAAAAAAAAAAAAAACAAAAAAACAAAAAAAACCCTGATTTTTATTTATTTATTTTTTTTTGGCCTTTATTTTGTTGTTTTTTTATTCCCCATGCTAGTGTTTTTTAAGAAACTATTAGCATAGCCAGGCATGGTGGCTCATGCCTATAATCCCAGCACTTTGGGAGGCTGAGGTGGACAGATCACTTGAGGCCAGGAGTTCAAAACCAGCCTGGCCAACATGGTGAAACCCATTTCTGCTAAAAATACAAAACTTAGCCAGGCATGGTGGCACATGCCTGTAACCCAGCTACTTGGGAGGTTGAGCCATGAGAATCGCTTGAACCCAGGAGGCGGAGGTTGCAGTGAGCCAAGATCATACCACTGCACTACAGCCTGGGCAACAGAGCGAGACTCTGTCTCAAAAAAAAAGAAAAGAAAAGAAACAATTAACATGGGGAAATAAGATAAAAAATTGCACCTTTTTGTAGAAGGGATGACTATTAGAATAAGTGAGTTTCCCAAATTGTAGCAATCTTTTTTACTTGTAACAATTTATACACATGAGTATTTTAAAGATCTTAAACAAATTCCATAATATTATTCCCTTAGGCTAGAATCTGTTCCTAAGAGTATTTCTGCCTTACCTGTGAATCCACATCCTATACCTCCAAGGGGGCCAACAGATCTGCCTCCAATGCCTGTCACCAAACCACTTCAGATGGTACCTCGAGGTTCTCAGTTATATCCAGCACAACAGACAGATGTTTATTATCAGGATCCACGAGGAGCGGCTCCACCATTTGAACCAGCACCTTATCAGCAGGGTAACGATTTTTTATTTATATTGCTCACTTTTCTTAGGAGTTACCAGAACTGCTCAGGTCAGAGTGATCATTTACACAGTAGCCTCTTTAAGATAGTAAATATATAAATGCATTTTTTAATACTTTGGAAAAATTGGATTTTATGATCAACTAAATACTATGAAATAAATGAAACAAAGTAATAAAAATCAAACCGCCTTATCTACTAAAAGCAGTTGTGTAATACAGGTGTTCATATATAATATTTATGGAAATAAGTCACACAAGTAGGCATTGGAAATTTGCTGAGTAAGGCAGTATATATTCTGACCAAAATTTTCTTCAAGCATGACAAAAGAATTAATATTATAGTGTGTGTAAATTAAACACCCACAGTACATTTTTCTTCCTTTTAATTATTATTATTCTGGGGCCTGTAATATATATGAAAAAATGCAGCACACATACCTTTAGAGAGTTTACAGAATATAATAAATAATGATAAAGAATAGAAAACTATTTATATGCATGAGTAGTAGATACGTGTGTGTGGTGTTTATGTATGTGTTAAAAATTAAGTGATCTGCTGTGGTGGTTAATATGAGTTTGATAGAAATTGACTGAAAGACTCAAGGGAGATCATTGAGAACTTGAGGAATCAAAAAGACTTAATGGAAGAAATGCCCCAAATGGAGGTATTTCGAATAGGAAAAAAAAAGTATGAATGGATTGGAAAGATGAGAGTTGAGTTAGGAGGCTGTTAATCTTGGTGTGAGTATTGAGGAATTAGTGTGGTGGGAAATGAGAAGGGATTTCAAAAATAGACAAATTTGAAAATTAGCCAGCTTTAATGATAATACCAGGTATGGAGAATGAAGGAAAGAAAATAAACTAATGTTTTACATATACAATTTATATGTAAAATAGACACTGAATGATTTTAAGTGTTGGATCTCTGTCAGAAGCAGTATAGTACTACAATTTTTAAAACGGGAGTAGATTAAAAGTGCTGTCTTCTTTTTCCGAGTCTGTCATTTAATTTTGAATCATATTGTCTTCTCTACATTCATGAGAATGTTTTTTAATTGATACGGCATTACTAATTCATGCAAAATATGATAAAATGTGATTTGTATGTTCCTTTTGACCATCCATTATAGGAAAAATGCAACTATTTTTGTAGCCTGGTTTCAATTTTAGATAAATTATTTTAGCTATATTAAGCAGAAAGAGATTTAGTGCAGGAGTTAGGTGCCTGCCATATTGGTGGAGGTACTAAAGAAGCAAGCAATGCTCCAGAGCTAGCTGCCAAGAGAACTTGTTACAATGAGTAAGCAGTAGAAGTAAAAACTTCTGTCCTACTTAATTCCAAGATCACATCATTTGAGGCAAAAGTCTGAAAATTGAGAAACTATTGCCACAACTGGTGTCTCAAGAACTGCAGAGCCAAGCAGTAGCTACTAATATGCACCAGCAAAACTGGCCTTTTGTGTTCCATGTCTCCCCCCAGTTATTTCAGTTTCAAATTCAAAACTCATACAAGTGATTAATTTGTGTAGCCTGACTTCAAGGATATCTGGGAAATGTAGTTTTTTTTTTGTTTTGCAATGTCTTCATTTCATTAAGACACACCAAGAAAGAGGGTCAAACAATGAGAGCCAATCTAGTATTATAGGTTATAAGTAGGGTAGTTTTTTCAATGACTTTTACAGATAATTTTTGCTTGTTATTTTTTAAAAAGCTAACCTGATTATATAAGCAGATGGAAAACTTCTAAAGAAATAAGTAGATTATCAATACTTTAGTGTTTCAGTATTTTAAAAGGTAAAATCTTATATAGAAAACTAAATTGGCTCATTATTGCCTTTGGTTCCTCTTTTGTATTATACAGGTGTGTATTATACTCCACCACCACAATGTGTGTCCCGCTTTGTCCGACCTCCACCATCCGCTCCTGAACCTGCTCCTCCCTACTTGGATCATTATCCACCCTACCTCCAAGATCGTGTTGTAAACTCTCAGTATGGCACACAGCCACAGCAGTACCCACCTATATACCCATCTCACTATGATAGCCGTCGAGTGTACCCTGCTCAGTCTTACACAAGAGAAGAGATATTCCGAGAAAGCCCTATACCCATTGAGATTCCACCTGCAGCAGTACCATCGTATGTACCAGAATCCAGAGAAAGATACCAACAGATCGAGAGTTACTATCCAGTGGCTCCTCATCCAACTCAGATCAGACCTTCGTACCTCAGAGTATGCTGTATTTTTTTTTATTACATAGACTTAATTTGACTATTGCTTGCAGTGATTCCTTACTTTTTATACAATGATAATAACCCTTTGATGACTTCTTCTTTATGAGAGCTTCTTTTTTTTTTAATCTTTTCATAATTTGCGTAGGTTTTTTTTTTTTTAACTATTAATGAGAAAAAAATTCTGCCTCCTCCCCCCAATTAACCAGTCTTAGTTTCTGAACTTTAGATGGTTTAATTAACAATTCTAGATCTACTTGGAAATTATGACCAAATAAAAAAAACCTAAATTTAGCTATTTGGAAGATCTTGAGAGTTTGGGGGGTTTTACTTTGTTCTATTAAGTGTTGGTGTTTTCAAATGTTAAGAAGGATATACAGGCTGCTTCATAACTTAAAATATACGCTGAGTATATTAAATGAATTAATCTGTCCTGAAATTCTCTTTCAATTTTAACTAATCTTTCTATTTTTAGGAACCTCCTTATAGCCGGCTTCCTCCTCCTCCCCAGCCTCATCCTAGTCTAGATGAACTACATCGCCGACGAAAGGAAATAATGGCCCAGCTGGAGGAAAGAAAGGTCATCTCTCCACCTCCTTTTGCACCTTCACCAACCTTGCCTCCTACCTTTCATCCAGAAGAAGTAAGCAAATCATTTTTAGTCTCATTTATCAGTGTTTTTGTGTGTGTGTCCAGTTTAGGTCATCTTTGCCTATCCCCAATGCGTATGAAGATTTTTTTTTTGCTGTTTTCTTCTAAAAGGTTTATTATCATTTAGCTCTGCAATCCATCTAGAACTGATTTTTGTATGTATGTAATGTAATATATTAGGAGTCAAGATCCGTGTTTTTTTTTGTTGTTTTTTTTTTCCTGTAAGGCATTGACTCAACACAATTTAATGAAATCGGCATGCTTTCCCTGGTGCCCTGCTTTATCATAATCAGGTGACCACATACATGTTTCCTGACCCTATTCTTTTCCATCAATCTATTTCTATCCTTGAACCAATGCCACATTCTCTTCGTGTAGTTCTATAAGAAGTCTCAATATGTGGTGGTTATACTTTCTAGTATTGTTATTTTTCAAGAATCAGTATGTTGATTTCCACAAAAACATCTGCTCCAGTTTTGATTAGGATTACATCAGATCTCTAAATCTGTGCTGTCCAATATGGTAGCCACTAGCCACATGTGGCTGTTTAACATGTAATATGTGGCTAGTTTAAGTTCAGATGTACTATAGTGATAAAATACACACTGAATTCAAGAATTTCATACCAAAAATGTAAAATTCATTAATATTTTTGATATATTGGATTAAATAAAATTGTTAAAATTAATTTCACCTGTTTTTGTTTTTAATATGGCCACTAAATGTTTTTAATGTGGCCACAAAAATGTTTTAATTGTATGTGTGGATCGCATTATATTTTTATTAGTGTTGCTTTATATTTATTTATTTATTTTTTTGAAACAGAGTCTCACTCTGTCACCCAGGCTGGAGTGCAGTGGCGCAATTTTCATTCACTGCTGCCTCTCAGGTTCAAGCAATTCTCATGCCTCAGCCTCCCAAGTAGCTGGGACTGCAGGTGCACACCACCACTCCTAGTTAATTTTAGTATCTTTTTTTTTTTTTTTGAGTCGGGGTCTCACTCTGTCACCCAGGCCAGAGTACAGTGGTGCAATCTCAATTCATTGCAGCCTCCACCTCCTGGGTTCAAGTGATTCTCCTGCCCCAGCCTCCTGAGTAACTGAGATTACAGGTGTGCACCACCACGCCCAACTATAATTTTTGTATTTTTAGTGGAGACAGGGCTTCACCATGTTGGCCTTACTGGTCTCGAACTGCTAACCTCAGGTGATCCTCCCACCTCAGCTTTCCAAGGTGCTGGGATTAAGGTGTGAGACACCACGCCAGGCCTAGACAGTGTTGCCTTAGATCAACATGATGAGAAGTGACATTTTTCTTTTTTTTTTGAGACAGAGTCTTGCTCTTTCGCCAGGCTGGAGTGCAATGGTGCCATCTCAGCTCACTGCAGCCACCGCCTCCTGGGTTCAAGTGATTCTTCTGCCTCAGCCTCCCAAGTAGCTGGGACTACAGGCATGAGCCACCATGCCCGGCTAGTTTTTTGTATTTTAGTAGCACTGGGGTTTCACCCTGTTGGCCAAGATGGTCTCGATCTCTTGACCTCAGGTGATCTGCCCGCCTCGGCCTCCCAAAGTACTGGGATTACAAGCATAAGCCACCGTGCCCAGCTGAGAAGTGACATCTTTCTAATATCAAGTCTCTTTGAACATCATATACCCCTTCATTTATTTGAATTTTCTTTATATTTCATACTCAGTGTCTTGCACATCTTACATTGAGTTTATTCCTAGATAATCATTGTTTTTTGAAACTATTTTAAATAGAATTGTTTGGAAATTTTTATTTTCTATTATTAATATAGAGAAATAGATTTTTTGTATTGACCCTTCTATTCAGCAGGCTTGCTAAATTTCTTTATTAATTATGATACTGTTAGATTCTTTTGAATTTTCTATGCACACAATTATGTCCTCTGAATAATCTTTTTTCCCCTTTTTAATCCTTTTGTCTTGTCTTTGTCTTATTATTTTGGACTCCAGCATAATGCTGAATAGAAGTGATTGTAACACATATTCTTGACTCCTTTCTAATCTTTGAGTAAATGGAGCTTTTAATAATAATTTACCATTATGTTGTAGGCTTTTTGGCAGAAAATCTTTATCGTATTTATGAAACTTTAATCCTAGTTTCAGAATTGTTTTAAATAAGTAAGACATATCAAAGATTTATTTAACTCAGTAATGAGGAGACCAGCCAGAAAAGTTGGTTTAATGAATAGGAAAGACACATAAATATAGATAGTGAAAATCAGAGAAAAACAACAGTCAAATAAGATTGCTTTTAAAAAAGCTGGTTAATGTATCACAGGGCAATAACCATAATTTGGGGAGTCAGCTTCTTTGTATTTCTGTACGACAGTGCTACTAGTTATGGTGAATAAGTGTTGTCTTATTATGTTAATGTCTATATGGTCTACAGTGATGTTCGTTTTTCTAGTTCTATATTGGTAATTCTTTTTGTCAGTCCTGCTAAGGATTTATCAATTTTGTTCGTCTTTTCAAAAAGCCAACTTTTTTTTTTTTTTTTTTTTTTGAGACGGAGTCTTGCCCTGTTGCCCAGGCTGGAGTGCAGTGGTGCGATCTTGGTTCACTGCAACCTCTGCCTCCTGGGTTCAAGCGATTCTCCTGCCTCAGCCTCCCCCAGTAACTGGGATTATAGGCATGTGCCACCACACGCAGCTAATTTTTTTGTATTTTTAGTAGAGATGGGGTTTCACCATGTTGGCCAGGCTGGTCTCGAACTGACCTCAAATGATCTACCCGCCTTGGCCTCCTAAAGTGCTGGGATTACAGGCATGAGCTACTGCACCCAGCCCAAAAAATCCAACTTTAAAGTAATCGTATTTGTTTTGTTGGTTGTACATACTGCTTTAGCTTATAGTTTATATATTTTTTTTAAATAATCAAGTAAGTTTTCTCAGGATTACAGTTGATACTATGTAAGGAACTTGTCTTTCATCCTTTATGTATAGAATTACAATTCTAACCGTTACTAACTGACAAATCATGAATAATAAATGAAAATGGAGAAGTACATCACACATAGTAAATAGTGTCTTGTTGGGTGTATGAAGGAAGTTGAAGGAAGAAATGAAGGAAGTATGAAGGAAGTTCTACTAAATAGAAGTTGTTCACAATATCTAGTTTTCCCATCTAAACACTTTGGATGAGTTTTCCACAAAAACGTAGGTTATTAGTAAAGTCACAACGTCTTCTATTAATGTAGTTTTATTTGTAAAGTAAAAACAGCCAGGTGTGCAGTAGTTCACACCTGTAATCCCATACTTTGGGAGGCTGAGGTGGGAAGATGACTTGAGCCCAGGAGTTCAAGACCAGTCTGAGCAACATAGACCCTATTCCTACAAATTTAAAAATAAAAATTAGCCAGATGTGGTGGGATACGCCTGCAGTCCCAGCTTCTTGGGAGGCTGAGGTGGGAGGATTGCTTGAACCTGGGAGGTCCATGCTGCAATGAGCTATGATTGTGCTACTGCACTCCAGCCTGAGTAACAAAGACCTTGTCTCAAAAAAGTTGGAGGGGAAAAAAAAAAAAACAGGTGTGATATTTTTTCAAAAATTCTTTATTAGAGTACACCCTGGAACTTTGTTATGCTATATTGTTTTATAAGAAATGTGGAAAACAATATGACATTGTGAAAAGTGAGCAGTTTTTGGTATCAAACATAGGAAACTTTGAGGTTCAGTTGTGTCCTTCACTGTGTGATCTTTTTAAAATTACTTAGCATCCCTGAACCCTGAGGTGCAAGTTTCTTCATTTATAAATCAAACATAGGAAAGCCTACCTCATAGTGGTATGGTGAAGATGAAACATAAGGCATCTGGTATGTAGCAGGCATTCAGTAAACAATTCATATTTATTATTGTTATTTTTACTCCTAATAAAAATTATAATAATGCCTGGCTATTAAGGAACATTATCTAGTATTATTTTAGTTACTGAGATACAAAGATACATATTTAAACCTCAGTTCTGATTATAAACAACCTGAATACAAAAATTAACCAGGCATGATGGTGGGCGCCTGTAATCCCAGCTACTTGGGAGACTGAGGCAGGAGAATTGCTTGAACCCAGGAGGCAGAGGTTGCAGTGAGCCGAGATCACACACCACTGCACTCCAGCCTGGGCGACAGAGCGAGACTCCTTCTCAGCAAAAATTTAAAAATAAATAAATAAAACAACCTGTGTATAATTGTACTAAATTCATACATTATGGAAATACATGATATAGAAAGAGAAGTTTCTCCAAAATCTCATTTTCTATAACCACTGTTTATTATATATTTAAACTTTTTATATATATTTCACCTTCTTTCTGTGCATGAACTAACATCTCTCTAGTAGACACATTATAATTGTACAAGTTTATGGGATACAGGGTGATATTTCTTTTTTTTTATTATTTTTATTTTTTGAGATGGAGTTTCACTCTTGTTGCCCAGGCTAGAGTGCAATGGCACGATCTTGGTTCACCGCAACCTCTGCCTCCCGGGTTCAAGTGATTCTTCTGCCTCAGCCACCCGAGGAGCTGGGATTATAGTCATGCGCCACCACGCCTAGCTAATTTTGTATTTTTAGTAGAGACAGGGTTTCTCTATGTTGGTCAGGCTGGTCTCAAACTCCTGACCTCAGGTGATCCACCTGCCTTGGCCTCCCAAAGTGATACGTCAATACACGTATACAATATGCAATGATCAAAGCAGGCTAATTAGCATATTATCTCAAACATTTACCTTTTATTTATATTGGGAACATTCAAAATCCTCTCTTCCTTGGACAATTGTGTATGTGATACTTGCCACTGCAAGGTCAAGTCTACAGAAATGCAGGATGCTTCCAGAGAGTTTCAGTCATCCTTTGACTGGTAGGCAGGTAGCTTTTAAGTCATTCAGAACAGTCATCCCACTTTTCTTTTCTTTTCTTTTTTTTTTTTTTTTTTTTTTTTTTGAGACAGACTCTTGCTCTGTTGCCCAGGCTACAGTGCAGTGGCACGATCTCGGCTCACTGCAACCTCCACCTCCCTGGTTCAAGCGATTCTCCTGCCTCAGCCTCCTGAGTAACTGGGATTACAGGCATGCACCACCATGCCAGGCTGATTTTTGTATTTTTAGTAGAGGCGGGGTTTCACCATGTTGGGGTTTCACCATGTTGGCTGGTCTCGAACTCCTAACTTCAGATGATCTAGCCACCTCAGCCTCCCAAAGTGCTGTGATTACAGGCATGAGCCACTGTGCCCGGCCAGTCATCCAACTTTTCTTTGAAGAAGAGAGCAGTGTTATATTTTAATTGTCAATTTTTGCATTATATAACATTGTATAAATAACATTCTTCTTGTGGGCTAAATAAATATCTTCAGATTTTATTTCAAGGAAAAATGCTGGGCAGATCTGCTGTTGTCCTTGCTTTTCATATCTACAACATTGTTGACAATGTTTATCTCAAGCTTCCTTTATAAATCGGCCCAGCACAGTGGCTCACGCCTGTAGAAAAAAAAAAAAGCCACATCTCTTACTGCAAACCTGATGTTGTTGTTGTTGTTGTTGTTGTTGTTGTTGTATGAAGATTGTGGTTTCTTTCTTTCTTTTTTTTTTTTTGAGATGGAATGTCACACTGTCACCTGGGCTGGAGTGCAATGGCGTGATCTTGGCTCACTGCAACCTCCGCCTCCCACATTCAAGCGATTCTCCCGCCTCAGCCCCCTAAGTAGCTGGGATTACAGGCGCCCGCCACCATGCTGGCTAATTTTTTGTATTTTTAGTAGGAACGGGGTTTCACTATGTTGGCCAGGCTGGTCTTGAACTCCTGACCTCATGATCCGCCCGCTTTGGCCTCCCAAAGTGCTGGATTATAGGTGCGAGCCACCATGCCCAGCCTAAGATTGTGGTTTCTTTCTTCATCAAATTGAAAATTATTTTGTTGATATTTGTTTCTTTTGTCAATCTGTCCTAGATACTTTCCATTTTATTTTGACTTCCAAGATCCTAAGTGGAAAATTTTTTTTTAAATGTTTCTATTTTCTTAAAAAAGAGACAGGGTCTTGCTGTGTTGCCCAGGCTGTTGATCTCACACTCATGGGCTCAAGCAATCCACCCACCATGCCCAGCCCACATTTTTTATGTCATTTGTAAATAAGTAAATAAACCTGAATTGAATTGGTCTATAGAAATAATGAATAAAATTGTATATAAAGATCAGTTTATGATGTTAAAAGTTTTCTTCAAAAAAAAAAACATAATTTTTTCAAATCAGGAAAAACAATCCTCTCTTCTGGCTTTTAGAAAATATATAGTAAATTATTAACTGTATTCACCCTGCAGGGCTATAGAATGCTAGAAGTAATTCCTCCTATGTAGCTATAATTTTGTATCTATTAACCAAGCTCTGTCTCCCCTTGCCTCACTCCATTCCCTTTCTGGTCTCTCATAACCACAGTTCCACTCTCTACTTCTGTGACTCAACTTTTTAGCTCCCACATATGAGTGAGAACATGAAATATTTATCTTTCTGTGCCTAACCAATTTCACTTAATGTGTTGTCCTCCAGGCTCATCTAGGTTGCTGCAAATGACAGGATTTATTCTCTTTTATGTCTGAATAATATTTCATTGTATATATACCACATTTTCTTTATCAATTCATCTGTTGCTGTACACTTCGGTTGATTCTGTATCTTGGCTATTGGGAATAAAACATGAGGGTGTAAATATCCCTTCATATACTGATTTATTTTCCTTTGGATGAATGCCCAGTAGTGGGATTGTTGGATCTCTTTATTATTATTGTTATTACTTTTTTTTTTTTTCTTTTTGAGACGGAATCTCACTCTGTTGACCAGGCTGGAGTGCAGTGGTGCAAACTTGGCTCCCTGCAACTCTGCCTCCCAGGTTCAAGCAATTTTCCTGCCTCAACCTTTTGAGTAGCTGGAACTACAGGCATACACCACCACACCCAACTAATTTTTGTATTTTTAGTAGAGACAGGGTTTTACCACCTTGGCCAGGCTGGTCTTGAACTCCCGACCTTAGGTGATCTGCCTGCCTCGACCTCCCAAAGTGCTGGGATTACAGATGTCAACCACCTTGCCCAGCCTCATTATTATTTTTTAATAGGATCATTTAGTAAATACATCTTGGTTTTATGTCTGTTTTGCCTTTGTTTTTACCTAATCCATTTTCCTGGCTGTCTTTGTATGTCAGTATATAAATTTATCTCATTCATTTAAATAGCTGCATATAATACACTACAGTCAGAGATTTAAAAAAGGAGCACTCTTGGCTAGGCGTGGTAGCTCACACCCGTAATCCCGGCACCTTGGGAGGCTGAGGTAGGTGGATCACCTGAGGTCAGGTGTTCCAGACGAACCTGGCCAACATGGTGAAACCCTGTCTCTACTAAAAATGCAAAAATTAGCCAGGTGTAGAGGTACGCACCTGTAATCCCAGCTACTTGGGAGGCTGAGTCAGGAGAATGGCTTGAACCTGGGAGGCAGAGGTTGCAGAGAGCGGAGATCATGTCACTGCACTTCATCCTGGGTGACAGAGCGATACACCGTCTCAAAAAAAAGGAGCACTGTAATTGGTAGGTCATGTGTTTTAAAAGTTAGCTGTTCTATCTAAAGTTTAATAAGTAGAAGAAAAATAAAAAAGCGTAAAATTTTTTTTTTAAATAATAGTAGGACAAAGAAAAGGGAAAAGGTTATGAATAATAGAAGCAGAAGAGTGGTTGGCAATGAGTGATACTAGTGATCAGCAGACCCTGTGTCAGTGCAGAAGGCCAATAATGATGACTCAGAAAAGAGATGTTTTTAGTATAGTGGGAGGCATAGATCCACTTAAATGAACCAATACCAATGAAGAGTGGTTGACAGTGAGTGATACTACTATGTCAGTGCAGAAGGCCAACAATGATAACTCAGCAAAGAGGTGTTTTTAGTATGATCACTGATACCCCTAGATATCAGTGTATATATGTCTTGTAATAAAATGAAAGAAACATTAAAGTTATAGTCCTAGCACTGCCCTATACTGGTATAGCCTTGGTCATATCACCTGTGTTGTCTATTATGGATTTAGGAGCTTATTAGGTAGTATACGTGAAAACATTTTGAAAATGTAAAACATTTTATAAATGTGAATGTTGCAATTTTAGTGAAAATATATTAGCCTTAGAATAGCTATTCTGTTTTTAGACTGGAGAACTTATCTTGAAAAGATAAAAATTAGACATCCTTTTCATCTCATTGAATCAACCTAAGAAGCAGAATTTATTCAAGATATGAATTATTGCTATTAAAGAGATTTCAGTAAAAAGTTACTACATCATCATGTACTATAAAACTCAAAATTTTTAATGTTCTTGTTTACCTTGATTTTATTGAAAGAAACATTGAGGAGGGTCTAGCAAAACTATGGCTTGGTACATATATGCTTAAATGTTTACTGATCTAATGAAGAAAAGGATGAGCAAACCCATAAAATCCTAGCCTGATTCCTGGAAGGATATTGAATTATCTTTTTTCTTTTTTCTTTTTTTTTTTTTAACCTTCTGCTAAGGTAAAAAAAAAAACAAAACAAAAACTGAAAGCTAAAAATCACTCTTCACTTATTTTATATTTTTCATAGTTTACAAAAATCTTCTATTGTGGCACTTAAAAATCGAATAATCATCATTATGTTGCTTCAGCACAATGTTCTAAGAAATTCCCTGCTTTCTCTATCTTGTTATTCATAGACCCATTTCCTGTTTCTTTTTGTTTTTCTTTTATTTTTTCTTTCTCCATCTGTAGTTTTTGGATGAAGACTTGAAGGTAGCTGGGAAATACAAAGGAAATGATTATAGCCAATACTCTCCCTGGTCATGTGACACCATCGGCTCCTACATTGGAACCAAAGATGCAAAACCCAAAGATGTTGTGGCAGCAGGGAGTGTGGAAATGATGGTATGTGTAACAGCTAAGCAATAATTAATACAAATCAAGATAAACCAAATAAATTTTCACCCATTACCATTTAGGCATAAATAATTCAGCTTTGCTTAAGAGTTTCAGACCATATTCTATACTCTGCAATTGAGTTATCTTTAAGCAGTACAGGTTTTTGATTCATTTAGATGTAAATAAAAATCTTTTAATACTTACTGAGACAGAGCATTTATTATATTTCTGTGCAAATAGCAATTTCTCAACAATTGTTTAGTACCCAGATTAAATTATTTTACATAATTAATTAGGATCTTGGACCCCTTCACCAAATAAGTTAAAATTCTTTTTCACGGAGAATGGTGTGAACCCGGGAGGCAGCACATGCAGTGAGCCAAGATTGTGCCACTGCACTCCAGCCTGGGCGACAAAGTGGCACTCCATCTCAAAAAAAAATTCTCAAAAAAAAAATTATTTTTCACAACTCTGAAGTTTAAATAACAAAGTTGAATCTAGTGAACGAGAGTAGTATTTGAGTCAGAATTACAGCTGCTCAGCTTCAAGTGAACTCTAAGATGCTGAAATTTAATACTTGGGTTATTTTATTCTTTAGTGAAAAATCATGTAACACCAGTGTTTCTAATAACCAAGTTAAAATATTATCAAAATCTTATCTTTTTTTTTTTTTTTTTTTTGAGACAGACTTTTACTCTTGTTGCCCAGACTGGGGTGCCATGGCGCAATCTCAGCTCACCGCAACCTCCACCTCCCAGGTTCAAGTGATACTCCTGCCTCAGCCTCCGGAGTAGCTGGGATTACAGGCATGCACCACCACACCTGGCTAATTTTGTATTTTTTAGTAGAGACGGAGTTTCTCCATGTTGGTCAGACTGGTCTCGAACTCCCGACCTCAAGTGATCCACCCGCCTCGGCTTCCCAAAGTGCTGGGATTATAGGCGTGAGCCACTGTGCCCAGCTTCCTCTTACCTCTTTTTATAGAGATAGGATCGATCTTTGTCACCCAGGGTGGAATGCGGTGACGTGATTATGGCTCACTGTAACCTCAAACTCCTGAACTCAGGAGATCCTCCTGAGTACCTAGGACTACAGGTGCATGCCACCACACCCAGCTATATTTTTTAGTAAAGACGGGGTTTCTCCATGTTGGTCAGGCTGGTCTTGAACTCCCGACCTCAAGTGATCCACCTGTCTCGGCCTCCCAAAGTGCTGGGATTACAGGCGTGAGCCACCATGCCCAGCTTCAGCTTATCACTTTATAGCAATAGGATCGATCTTCATCGCGCAGGGTGGAGTGTAGTGACATGATTATGGCTCACTGTTACTTCAAACTCCTGAACTCAGGTGATCCTCCTGAGTAGCTAGGACTACAGGTGCATGCCACCACACCCAGCTAATTTAAAAAATTTTGTAGAGATGGGGTCTTGCTATGTTTCCCAGACTGATCTTAAACTCCTGGCCTCAAGTGATCCTACCGCCTCTGCCTCCCAAAGTGCTGGGATTACAGGCATGAGCTACCCTACTTGGATAGTATCTTCATTGCCTTTTTATTTTTTAAAGAAATACAATTTTCAAGAAGTATATCCCCCTGTATATATTTCCCAAGTCTCGTTTTTCTCCCTCTTTCATTCCCTGTCAGTAATCTCTATCCTGAGTTTAGTATTTATCATTTTCATGGATAATTTTATTTCCCCTTAAGACAGGATCTTCCTCATGCTGGAGTGCAGTGTCACAATCACAGCTCACTGCAGCCTCACGCTCCTGGACTCAAGTGATCCTCCCACCTCACCCTCCCAAGTAGCTGGGACACAGATGTGTGATACTATGCTCAGCTAATTTTTTTTTTTTTTTTTTGGTAGAGATGAGGTCTTGCTATGTCGCCTAGGCAGAACAGGCTGGTCCTGAGCTCCTGAGCTCCTGGGCTCAAGGGATTCTCCTGCTTCTGAAAGTGCTGTAGTTACAGGTGTGTGCCAGTGCGCCTGGCCATGGATAATTTTATACTATTCCTAAACAATGTTGTTTTATATGTTTATAGACCTTATATAAATTATACACTTCAGCTTGTATTTTCATGTTTTCACTCAGCATTGCTTTTAAATTGTGTCTTTTTTTTTTTTTTTTTTTTTTGAGACAGAGTTCCACTCTGTCACCCAGGCTGGAGTGCAGTGGCATGATCTCAGCTCACTACAACCTCCGCCTCCTGAGTTCAAGCGATTCTCCTGCCTCAGCCTCCCGAGGAGCTGGGACTACAGGCACATACCACCATGCCTGGCTAATTTTTTTGTATTTTTAGTAGAGACACAGTTTTGCCATGTTGGTCAGGCTCGTCTCAAACTCCTGACTTCAGGTGATCTGCCCTCCTCGGCCTCCCAAAATGCTGGGATTACAGGTGTGAGCCACAATGCCCAGCCCATATTTATATCTGTAGCTCAGGATTATTGATTTTAGCTACTTTTGCGAGATATTCTGTATAAATGATACCATACAATGATTTGTTTTTGTATTAGTGGACATTTAGGCTATTTTTGATCTTTCACTATTATGTATGGTACTCCAACAAACATTCTTATGTATATATGTCTTCACATGCATGAAAGTTACACTTAGAAATGGTCTTGCTGGCTGGGCACTGTGGCTCATGCCTGTAATCCCAGCAGTTTCGGAGGCCAAGGCAGGTGGATCACTTGAGGTCAGAAGTTTGAGACCAGCCTGGCCAACATGGCAAAACCTCATCTCTACTAAATACACAAAAATTAGCTGGGCATGGTAGCAGGAGCCTGTAATCCCAGGTACTTGGGAGATTGAGACAGGAGAATGGCATGAACCCGGGAGGCAGAGGTTGCAGTGAGCTGAGATTGTGCCACTGTACTCCAGCCTAGATGACAGAGTGAGACTCCATCTCAAAAAAAAAAAAAAAAAAGGAATGGTATTGCTGAATTACCGGTATGGTATACCTTGACTATTCTTAACCCATTTGTCCTTATTACTCTTAACAGAGTTAGTAAGATATTGTATAGGTTTTTCCTAGGTTATATAGATTTTCATGGATAAATACTTTTCCAGGTGGTTAAGAAAAGACCAATATTTGCCATAAGAAAAAGATTTGGATGCTGATAACCACTGTAAATGAGTGAAGTGATATCTAATAGCATAAATATGATTATATGCCAGCCCCGCCCCCCCCCCCAAAGAACATAGAGTTTTAGAGGGAGAAAAAGCAAAATAAATCCTTTTTTTTTTTTTTTTTTTTTTTTTGCAGTAGGATTACAGAAGCATTGTTTTTGGGCTGTAATAAGGCTCTTATTGGAAAGAAATGAGGGGAAATTAGGCAGGAATGTTTGCCTTGTACTTGGCTTTCAAAAAGGGTTATTATATTAAAGTAACATGAGTATTAGCAAAACAAAACTCACTTTCTTAAATCAGTAAAGAATTAAAAAGTTTGGGCCAGGCATGGTGACTCACACCTGTAATGCCAGCACTTTGGGAGGCCAAGGTGGGAGGATTGTTTGAATCCAGGAGTTCAAGACCAGCCTGGGCAACATAGCAAGACCCCATCTCCTCAAAAATGTTTTTAATTAGCCAGGTGTGGTGGTGCACGTCCGTGGTCCCAGCTACTTGAGAAGCTGAGGCAGGAGGATTGCTTGAGCCCAGGAGGTTGAGGCTCACACACCACTGCACTCCAACCTGGTGACAGAGCAAAATCCTATCTCAAAAACAAACAAAAAGTTGCAGTCCAATCTAGAGGACTTGAAATTTGGGAGGAAATTGAAAATCTCCCGAATAGGTGAAAGAAGTCTAATCTAGTATTTCTCAAATGTTAATGTGCATACAAATTATATATTTGTGTGTCTATATATGTGTGTAACAATATATAGGGATAAATGTATATTTGTATGCATATATATATATACACACACTAGATCATTATATATATGTATTTCTTAAAGATTGAATTGGCTTTTATTAGTGATTGATTAATCAGGAAGCATTTCATCTATGAAATAGAAATATGCTCTAATGAGCTAAACAGAGAAAAGGAACGAAACTCAGATTAGCTGTTTCAAAGTTATTTTTCTTATAGGACTAAAGCAGAAGGGACTTACCAGTTCTAATTGAGTGATCCTCTTATGATTGATTGCTGTGAATCTCCTGTTTTTTGGAAAACTGACGCATTTTCAAGTTCAGTTTGATTTTGTGGCATCTAGCACAAGTGATTACATTCTGCTTTGATCTGGTGTCTTGGGGCTTAGTGCAGGAGCTTAGTCCAAAACAATGGCCTCCCATAAATTTTAAAAATGTATTTCTTAGGTCAGGTGCAGTAGCTCATACCTGTAATCCCAGCACTTTGGGAGGTTGAACTTGAGGCAGGAGGATTGCTTGAGCCCAGGAGTTTGAGACCAGCCTGGTCAACATAGGGAGACCTCGTCTCTATAAATAATAAAAAAAAAAAAATTAGCTGAATATGGTGGTACATGCCTATAGTCCCAGCTACTTGGGAGGCTGAGGTGTGAGGATCACTGGAGCCCAGGAGGTTGAGGATGCAGTGAGCCATGATAGTGCCCCTACATTCCAGCCTGGGCAACAGAGTGGGACCCTGTCGCCCCTCACCTCAGAGGTTTAGAAACCAGTGTTACATAAAAACAACCAAAGGTAACTAATGATTTTAGTCTTACCAGTAAGAGTGTTGTACTCATCTTTGACCTTATTACAGATCTAGAAAAAATTAGGTTACAGAGCGATCTGAGTGTGGGGTAGATTTCTCATTTTGCTTTTTTATCAGAATGTGGAGAGTAAAGGAATGAGGGACCAGCGATTAGATCTTCAGAGAAGAGCAGCAGAAACCAGTGATGATGACCTCATCCCATTTGGAGACCGACCAACAGTGTCTCGGTTTGGTGCCATCTCGCGAACTTCCAAAACTATATATCAGGGTGCTGGTCCAATGCAGGCTATGGCACCTCAGGGAGCTCCTACAAAATCTATTAACATTTCAGGTAAGAATCTCAAAGGTAAGCTGACCTAAAGGGTTCATAATCTTGACTTTCAGCATTACCCCTGCTCCCCATTTACTATCAGTGTTTTTAGTAATCTTGCAAGGCAGTAATTTTCAAACTTTCCAGGGAATCATCCCTGTAAGAAAGGTAATATAACCCAGTGAATTTTAGGTATATAAACTGAAATTAAATGTCTATATGTGAAGCTTTCCTAATGTTTCTTCCCCATCCCACCCCCACCTCAAATAGCTTCATTGCTATATGGGGGAATAACATTCTCATTATACAGTAATTTGGAAGAAAAACTACAAAGACTGAAAGTTCATTGGGGAAGAAACAAACATGTATCAGCACCCAGCATCATGCTGCCTGACATTTAGAAAAACAAAGTTAAAGAATTTTAAAAATCTGGCCATTTAAGATAGATACCAGATATCTGTGTATGCAATACCCTGATGTCTTTTAGATTATGAGTACCTTAAAAGAAGAATCAAATCTGTGAATTATCTCATACCATAATAAATCATTCTCTTACAGATTATAGTCCATATGGAACCCACGGTGGCTGGGGAGGTTCTCCATATTCACCTCATCAAAACATACCTTCTCAGGGACACTTCAGTGAGAGGTATGAGTCATTCTTTTTACTTGAATAGACATGTAGAAACCTTTAAAATTATGCAACTTCTTTTTGTTTTTCTGGTCAGTAATATCTTAAAAAAATGAAATGTTAAAATTTACTTCACACTTTCTTTCTAACCAAAGGGAGAGAATATCTATGTCAGAAGTGGCCAGTCATGGAAAACCCCTTCCATCTGCTGAGAGAGAACAGCTACGACTAGAATTGCAACAATTGAACCATCAGATTAGCCAGCAGACCCAGCTACGTGGACTAGAGGTACCAGCCTAGAGAGCCATTTTTGTTCCAATTTTTGAAGGGTTCTCAGAGATTTTAAACAGGAACTTTTGAGGCACTATGAACAAAAAACTTTAAGGTCTATTTCTTAGGAGTTAGTGTAGGTTTCCATTCTTCAAAGAATTCAATACTGGGTTTAGCTCTGGGACAATAGAAAACGTAAAATTTCTACTACCTAAGAATAGAAAACAGATTACCTAAAATTTCCCAACAGGAGCTTGTATTCCCTGATGGCACATTTAAGTTTTGTTTGTTTGTTTGTTTGTTTTTGTTTTTTGTTTTTTGTTTTTTGAGACAGAGTATTGCTCTGTTGCCCAGGCTGGAGTGAGGGGGCGTGATCTCAACTCACTGCAACCTCCACCTCCTGGGTTCATGTGATTCTCCTGCCTCAGCCTACTGAGTACTTGGAATTATAGATGTACACCACCATACTCAGCTAATTTTTGTATTTTTATTAGAGACGGGATTTCACCCCTGTAATCCCAGCACTTTGGGAGGCCGAGGCAAGCAGATCATGAGGTCAGGAGTTAAGACTAGTCTGGCCAACATAGTGAAACCCCATGTCTACTAAAAATACAAAAAATTAGCTGGGCATGCTGGTGTGCGCCTGTAATCCTAGCTACTCAGGAGGCTGAGGCAGGAGAGTCGTGTGAACCCAGGGAGGCAGAGGTTGCAGTGAGCCGAGATCGCGCCATTGCACTCCAGCCCAGGCTACAGTGTGAGACTCAGTCTCAAAAAAAAAAAGAACTTTGACTTAAAAAATAAAACATAGTTCCAGTGTAATAAGAATAATAACACTTTTCATTTATGTAGTTCTGTACCATTTAAAAATCACTACCATGTATCTTATTTGACCCTTACAATATCGCTAATAGGTAGGTTAGACAGGTGGTATTGTCTTCCTTTTTTGATTGAAGTATATGAGTTTCTCAAAAATTGAAACATGAACTCAAGTCTTCATATTTCAGATTCAGTGTTCTTTCCATCATGCTGCCTGACACTTAGAAAAACAAAAACTAAAGAATTTTTAAAATCTGGCTGGATGTGGTGGTTCGTGCTTGTAATCCCAGCACTTTGGGAGGCCAAGGCAGACGGATTGCTTGAGCTCAGGAGTTTGAGACCAGCCCGGGCAACATGGCAAAATCCCTTCACTACAAAAAGTGCAAAAATTCACCAGGCATGGTAGTGCATGCCTGTAGTCTCAGCTACTCAGGATGCTGAAGGCAGAAGGATCACCTGAGCCCAGGGTGGTCAAGGCTGCAGTGATCCTGGATGGTGCTACTGCACTCCAGCCTGAGCGACAGAGTGAGACCCTGTCTCAAAAAAAAAACAAGAATTTAAAAAATCTTTCAAGTGTCACATAAGGAAGACTAGGTTTTGTTTATATATCATCCTTTACATTGGAACATATTCTTTGAATATGGAAAACTGAAGACATTCTAATGATAAATACATTGTCCTTTCTGGAGGAAAAAATGGTACTGTGAGAACATTAGTCTGTCTTTCTACCATAATCTTTAATAATAAGTAAGCCATCACTTTGGAGGGAAAAAAAGTTATAAGACTTTTTCTTAGTAGACTTTCTTTTTAGGAATACCAGTAGGAGATTGTTTTCGAAACATTTAGCTGACTTGTGCCCCTATGTACACAATTAGATTTAGGAATTTTAAAAAATCTATGTAATATTTAGATTTTGTCTGCTTTTGCCATTGCTTATTTACATTGATTCAAAACGTCTTGCTGATTCCTGTCACAGAAACAGAATGCTATGTTTGCTTATGGCAATCTTTCGTTCATTAACTTTTTAAAGATTCAGACCTTCCACCCAATAAGGCATCACTGCATATCCTCAAATGCATGGTTTTTTGTTTTAAAGTTTCCAGGCACATTTTCTGTCCAAAAAGACTATCAGTATTATTTAGAAACTTGCCACATATTTAACTCAGTACAGTTAAAAGTCCTTGCCATTACTGAGGTTTCAATGAAATAAGTTATAGGATTTACTTCAGAGAAAATTACCATTAAAAACAGAGGGGGAAAGATGCACATCTGTAGTTGACTTGTTTTTCTTCCATTTCCTTTTTTTTTTTTTTTTCTGAGAGACAAGGTCTCACTCTGTTGCCCAGGCTGGAGTGCATGGAGTGCAGTGGCATGATCATAGCTCACTGTAATCTTAAACTCCTGGGCTCAAGTGATCCTCCCTAGTAGCTAGGACTACAGGCCCACACCACCATCCTAGGCTAATTTTTTTTTTTTTTTTTTTGTAGAGGCAAGGTCTTGATGTATTGCCCAGGTGGGTCTCAAATTCCTGGCCTCAAGTGATCCTCCCACCTCAGCCTCCCAAAGTGCTAGAATTAAAGGCATGAGCCACCATGCACAGCCAACTTCTCTTTCAAATCAGAAAATACAAAGAGCAATGTATACTTAAGATGAAATTACTGTTTACTAAATTTAAATGTCCCTGTTTTGTTCTTTTATTGTTCAAATGGTACTCAAAGAGAACAGTGCCTTACAGTTGCATTATTTTTGTTGCAAATAGCTGGGTGATAAGCTACTTAAGGCTGTGGTGTGGAATTGAGCCTGGTTATTCTGTGCATGGTGTGAAGTGTGTTGAGTTTTCTCTGTGCTTGGCTTTATGCACTAGGCTGTTAGTAACAGACTGGTGTTGCAGAGGGAGGCAAACACCCTGGCAGGCCAGTCACAGCCCCCACCACCGCCACCTCCAAAATGGCCTGGAATGATCTCAAGTGAGCAGTTGAGCTTGGAACTGCACCAGGTGGAAAGGGAAATCGGGAAGAGAACACGGGAACTGAGTATGGTGAGTGTTATGGTGGGAAGAGAGGGGGAAGGTGAAATGAAATCTTTCATGTGGCTCTAGAATTATCTAGAGCTACAGAATCATCACTTCAAGGCACTCTGATGAGTGGTTAATATTTAAAATAATTATCATGCGGGTGGACTACCTTACTATTTTATCATTCCCTTCCTCTCTTTTGGTTTGAGTGTGTTTTTTGTCTTAGAATTCTTCATTAACTTTTAGGGAAAACAAGGTTTTAATGCTTCTTTAATTTAAGAACTTAATGGAAGTTCTTAAATCTCTGTTTAGCATACCGATTAGGGAAGCAAATAGGATGGTGTTTACTATTTTGCAATGACAACGTGTTATATAAAGATGTATTCACCAAATAATATTCCAGCTTCGTAGCCTTTATAACAATGACCTCTTTTTTGCTATGAGTGATACACAGTCTGCACATTCTTTCCTTGGAACTATATCCATTAATATGCTTAGGATTTGCTTCATAGTGCACAGACATTCATTTTAGTAAATTTTGAATCTTAGGGGGTTCCTCAGGTTGCATGATATGATTTTTTTGTTGCATAGTTTTCATAATCTTTCTAAGCAAATAAATTGAGTGTGCAGGTTTTTTTGCTTTCAGTAAGTATGTTAAAGATATTTATTGTACTTTGGTTTGCTTTTTTTGTTTTTTTGAGACTGAGTCTCTGTCACCCAGGCTGGAGGGCAGTGACGCAATCTCAGCTCACTGCAACCTCCGCCTCCCATGTTCCAGTGATTCACCTGCCTCAGTCTTCCGAGTAGCTGGGATTACAGGTGCCTGCCACCACACCAGTGTAGTTTTTGGTTTTTTGGGGTTTTTTTTAGTTGTTTTTTTTGAGATGGAGTCTCGCACTGTTGCCCAGGCTGGTGTGCAGTGGCACAATCTCAGCTCACTGCAACCTCAGCCTCCTGGGTTCAAGTGATTCTTCTGCCTCAGCCTCCCAAGTAGCTAGGATTATAGGTGCCCACCACCACGCCCAACTAATTTCTTAATATTTTTAGTAGAGATGGGGTTTTGCCATGTTGGCCAGGCTGATCTCGAACTCCTGACCTCAGGTGATACACCCACCTCAGCCTCCCAAAGTGTTGAGATTACTGGTGTGAGCCACCACACCCAGCCTTTTTTTTTTTCTTTTTTGGAGGGAGTCTCACTCTGTCACCCAGTGGGGGAGTGCAGTGGTACAATCTCAGCTCACTACAACCTCCGTCTTCTGGGTTCAAGTGATTCTCCTGCCTCAAGCTTCTGAGTAGCTGGGATTACAGGCGTGCACCACCACACCTGGCTGATTTTTGTATTTTTAGTAGAGATGGGGTTTTGCCATGTTGGCCAGTCTGGTCTCGAACTGACCTCAGGCAGTCCACCTGCCTCAGCCTCCAAACTGCTGGTATTACAGGGATGAGCCACCATGCCTGGCCGCCTTTCTAGGTTATCGTTTTTTTCTGTGAATTTTTTTTTCACATTAGCTTGAGGCATTGTCTCTCTTTTTGTCCAGCTTGGTTAGTGAGCAAGTGGGTTGTATTCTGTTATGTTTTTATGTATGTCACTCTTTTAGTCTGCCAGTTTCTTTGGTTATTTTACAAAATTAAATATGATTTCTGGATCATCACTTTGTATTATCTATAATTTGGTCTCTCCCATTAACACCATTAAATAGACGATAACTGATTTTATTTCCTCTTTCAAAGGAAAACCAGTGTTCTCTGGACATGAAAAGCAAACTGAATACAAGTAAACAAGCCGAAAATGGACAACCAGAACCACAAAACGAGGTTCCGGCTGAGGACCTTACATTGACATTCAGGTAAAGAAAAGGAGATTTTCGTAGCCATATTAAATTACACACAAAAGAGAAATTATTATATTATCCAGTCATATCAGAAGTACCCTCATAAACATAATTTGATTCTTAAAATATCATTATTCTGTGTACATTAAGAATATTTTTGCGGCCAGGCGCAGTGTCTCACGCCTGTAATCCCAGCACTTTGGGAGGCTGAAGCGGGCGGATCACAAGGTCAAGAGATCGAGACCATCCTGGCCAGCATGGTGAAACCCCGTCTCTACTAAAAATGCAAAGATTAGCTTGGCATGGGGGCCTGTGCCTGTAGTCCCAGCTACTCGGGAGGCTGAGGCAGGAGGATCGCTTGAACCTGGGAGGGGGAGGTTGCAGTGAGCCAAGATTGTGCCACTGTACTCCAGCCTGGCGACAGAGTGAGACTCAGTCTCAAAAAAAAAAAAATATTTTTGCATAAATCTGGAGTTACAAAACTTAGATCCAAGGTTGAATTATCTATTAATACCTAACAAAGGAAAATTTCTGGTTATGTTTCCATCTTCCCCTTGTTTTTAAATCTATTTCGAAGATAGCCTTGTATCTTTACATTATAAAAGTACTATATGCTCAATGTAGAAAAAATAAAGTCACCCCCCCATCTTAAATATGTTATAAAAAATTAGCTTTAGGAGATCGAAAATTTTAGAAAAGGGCAAATTTTTAAATTGCCTGTAATTCCAATATTCAGAGATAACTCTTGTTAACATTTTGGAGTATTATATTATCTTTCCAGTCTTTTTTTTTTTTCTTTTTTTGAGATGGAGCTTCACTCTTGTTGCCTAGACTGGAGTGCAATGGCACGATCTCGGCTCACCACAACCTCTGCCTCCCGGGTTCAAGCAATTTTTCTGCCTCAGCCTCCCAAGTAGCTGGGATTACAGGCGTGCACCACTACGCCTGGCTAATTTTGTATTTTTAGTAGAGACAGGGTTTCTCCACGTTGGTCAGGCTGGTCTTGAACTCCTGACCTCAGGTGATCCACCTGCCTCGGCCTCCCAAAGTGCTGGGATTAAAGGTATGAGCCACCACACCTGGTTTTTTCCAGTCTTTTTAAAGTGTGTGGGCATTTAGCCTCTTGCTAGTTTCACAAACCCAGCACTCCACCTCCTTGGTTTTTAATTCAGACTGTCCTATATCATCCAATATTCTGCAGATATGAAAAGATACATATCAACTACCATGAACATCCCTACAATAAACAGTATTACAATTAATGCTTTGTTTGCATATCTTAAATTATTTTCTGAGGATATTTTGAGGCTTTTGAATACACAGTCCTAAGTTGCCCCCCTGACGATATATAACAAAAATTTCTAATGCTTTCAGGCCTGGATTTTGACATTTTAATTCATGCATTATCTTGGATTCAATTTTTTTTTTTTTTTTTTTTTTTGAGACAGAATCTTACCCTGTCACCCAGGCTAGGGTGCAATGGCATAGACTCGGCTCACTGCAACTTCTGCCTCCTGGGTTTAAGCGAGTCTGCTGCCTCAGCCTCTTGAGTAGCTGGGACTACAGGCACGTGCCACCATACCTGGCTAGTTTTTGCATTTTTAATAGAGACAGGGTTTCACTGTCTTAGCCAGGCTGGTCTCAAACTCCTGATCTTGTGATCCACCTGCCTCAGCCTCCCAGAGTGCTAGGATTACAGGCATGAGCCACTGCATCTGGCTTTTTTTTTTTTTTTCAAACTCTCATTCTATCCCCTAGGCTGCAGTGCAATGACTTGATCTCATCTCATTGAAACCTCTGCCTCTCAGGTTCAAGCAATTCTTGTGCTTCTGCCTCCCAAGTAGGTTTTTACAGGCACGTACCACCAGGCCAATTTTTG